CAGATGTCGATTTTTTTTGTTGTTGTATATATTTTTTAAGTTTTTGCCATAGGACATGCGTGTACTCACAGAGAAAGGAGAGAGAGTGGGGAAGTGAGAAATCACCCCCCAGCAAGGATGGCCATGCCACAATTCCTTCTCCTCCAGTTTCCTCTAGGGATTTTGGGCATATATATATATACACATGCACATGGTGTGATTTTCAAGTCTTCTGTTTTGAGTCTCAGACCGTGGTCAGCCATGTGAGAATCCAGTGCATTAACCACCATGCCCCCTGCTGGCCCCCAAAATGTCTGTCGTTTTAAAATTCTAAACAGGCTTTGCTTTCTGTACTTTTAAGATCAAGAACATTCACAGAGAGTATTGAGATTCCACGTCGGTGTATTCTTTGTTTCTTTCCTTTGTGTTTCCACAGAATGTTGAACACCTTTTAGGGTATTTTCATCATGCTCTGCTAATCTCATTGCCTGGTCCTGTCCCACTTCTAGACCTAGGGCTCTTCCCTGCACATTTATTCTCTGTTCAGAAATGTCGTAGATGCTTTCAGCCTTGTTTCCAGTCAGTGCCTTGCCCAGGCCTCTGTGTCCCTGGGATTGTTGTAGGAACACGTCACTAGAAAACATCTGTATTGTCATCAACAATATCTCTGCTTGTGTGTGCAGTGTTTTTGTAGCAGATAATAATTTTTTCTTAGAGTATGAGATTGGTGACTGTGTCATGACTTTCACCTGTAACTAAATAACTTCTATTTTTTAATGAATTATTTAATCTTATTTATTATTTTAGTAGTAATATTTCTTAATTTGACAGAGTGAGAAAGCAAGAAAGCAAGCTGCCAGGTCTAGGACTTGTACTGCAATCAGGCATGTGGGAGTCCAGTACTTTATCCACCCTGCCACCTGCCGGCCCCTCAAGAAATAACTTACAAATAAGAAGTGGCTTCATACTGTATATAGAGTGAGTGGAATTGTACGGGTCTTTATTCATTAATAACATTCCCCAAAAGTGATACACAAAACAGTTTTCCCAGATCACTCTATCTCAAGTGACTTCCCTCGTCCATGTACTTTTTATTTTCCTTCATACACTTCTTCAAAATCTGATATTACATTGTGTGTGATGCAATATAAACAATATGATATATGATAGGATATACATATGTCCTTTTTTTTTTCTCCTCTTGAATATTGTATCCCTGGGGTCAGCATGTGGTGTGGTGGTTAAAGGCGAAGAAGAATATTATGTCTCTGAGGGCAGGAACTTTCCAGCACATTGTAGATGCTCATTAATATATATATATATAGAGAGAGAGAGAGAGAGATAGATAGATAGATAGATAGATATAAGTCATTACATCACCATGGATAGCGTCTCATATCATCAAGACCAAGGGCTTGTGAAGTGTGTCCCTAACAAAGCACCGTCTCGCACAGAGCCTCCCCTGAGCCCTAGAGCCCTGTCTTTACCATACTACGAGACATGATAGCTTAATTAAAACTAGGAAACATTAAAAAAAATGTAACTGGGAATAGACAAATGGGTCACAAGAAAAAAAAAAGAGGTTTCCTTTCTGCCTCGCAGTTTTGAAAGGCAAAATTTTATAGACTTAATATTTACTTCTTTTTCTAGTGTGAAAGATAAGGGTATGGAACATGGTATGTAGGATTAAATGAAAAAAAAAAAAGGGCAGGATGTTTACCCTTGCTTATTAAAAATAGAATCTTTACAAGCCTTACTTTTATCTTTTCCAAAAACTTAACTGAAGAGGAAGAGGCTTTTAGCAGGAAATGCTAAAAGCACAAAACAGATGTCGATTTTTTTTGTTGTTGTATATATTTTTTAAGTTTTTGCCATAGGACATGCGTGTACTCACAGAGAAAGGAGAGAGAGTGGGGAAGTGAGAAATCACCCCCCAGCAAGGATGGCCATGCCACAATTCCTTCTCCTCCAGTTTCCTCTAGGGATTTTGGGCATATATATATATACACATGCACATGGTGTGATTTTCAAGTCTTCTGTTTTGAGTCTCAGACCGTGGTCAGCCATGTGAGAATCCAGTGCATTAACCACCATGCCCCCTGCTGGCCCCCAAAATGTCTGTCGTTTTAAAATTCTAAACAGGCTTTGCTTTCTGTATTTTTAAGATCAAGAACATTCACAGAGAGTATTGAGATTCCACGTCGGTGTATTCTTTGTTTCTTTCCTTTGTGTTTCCACAGAATGTTGAACACCTTTTAGGGTATTTTCATCATGCTCTGCTAATCTCATTGCCTGGTCCTGTCCCACTTCTAGACCTAGGGCTCTTCCCTGCACATTTATTCTCTGTTCAGAAATGTCGTAGATGCTTTCAGCCTTGTTTCCAGTCAGTGCCTTGCCCAGGCCTCTGTGTCCCTGGGATTGTTGTAGGAACACGTCACTAGAAAACATCTGTATTGTCATCAACAATATCTCTGCTTGTGTGTGCAGTGTTTTTGTAGCAGATAATAATTTTTTCTTAGAGTATGAGATTGGTGACTGTGTCATGACTTTCACCTGTAACTAAATAACTTCTATTTTTTAATGAATTATTTAATCTTATTTATTATTTTAGTAGTAATATTTCTTAATTTGACAGAGTGAGAAAGCAAGAAAGCAAGCTGCCAGGTCTAGGACTTGTACTGCAATCAGGCATGTGGGAGTCCAGTACTTTATCCACCCTGCCACCTGCCGGCCCCTCAAGAAATAACTTACAAATAAGAAGTGGCTTCATACTGTATATAGAGTGAGTGGAATTGTACGGGTCTTTATTCATTAATAACATTCCCCAAAAGTGATACACAAAACAGTTTTCCCAGATCACTCTATCTCAAGTGACTTCCCTCGTCCATGTACTTTTTATTTTCCTTCATACACTTCTTCAAAATCTGATATTACATTGTGTGTGATGCAATATAAACAATATGATATATGATAGGATATACATATGTCCTTTTTTTTTTCTCCTCTTGAATATTGTATCCCTGGGGTCAGCATGTGGTGTGGTGGTTAAAGGCGAAGAAGAATATTATGTCTCTGAGGGCAGGAACTTTCCAGCACATTGTAGATGCTCATTAATATATATATATATATAGAGAGAGAGAGAGAGATAGATAGATATATAGAGAGAGAGAGAGATAGATAGATAGATAGATATAGATATAAGATGATTCCGACATCAAGTATTTAATTCTTGAAAGGATCAAGGCATAAATGATTCTTTTGATTGTAAATTTCTTTAGATTAGTTACAATCATTTACCAAGTGATGTCCAGAATAATGGTTTCAGGTTGGAATTATTTGAATTTTCTTGAGAAATAGGTATTTAAAAATAATATCAAGACTGTTACTTTCCAATATTCCATATATCTGAAATTGTAGTAATGTCTCCATTCATAATTCATCCATTTGATACATTTTATAGAGAGCCTCCTCTGCACCAGCTACTAGAGACACAAAGAAAGCTTCTTGTCCCTAGGAGTTTACTGTCTAAGTGGAGAATCAGACCAGCCAGTGTAGTCCAGCTGTCCTGTGAGTGAATTCCAGCTGCGATGGGAGGGACCAAGGAAGAAACTTCTAAGTTGGAACCCAAGAAATAAGAATTAGCCAGTTAGCCAACATAGTGTGTGAGAAGGAGATGGCACTGGGGGTAGGTTTAGAGGAAGAGGAGAGGGATGGTTTTCAGTAGAGGAGATAATACACTGAGAGGGTCGGGAGCTCTCAGGAGAAATAGATGAAGCTTCGCATGAGGAGAGTGTAGGTTTTAGAGGTGGAGATTGGTGTGAAATGTACCTGGAATGTGCCCAAGAGTCAGAACTCAAAAGGACTGACTGGCGATGTGATCTGCCATAGTTGGAGGACAACAAAATCAGCGGAGGGTTTTAAACCGGAGTCAGGATTTTAAGGTGCCCCATGATTTTATTTAAGACGGAAGTTCAAAAAGTTTATAGAAAATGGAGTTAAAGTATGAGTTTATTCTGGTGCATGAAAACTTTGAAATCTGTGCTTAGTTCTTTTCCTAATATTCATCTTCGAAGAACTTTTTGAAGACCTCTCATATTTAAGGGTTCGAAGAACTTTTTGAAGACCTCTCATATTTCAGTGATATTGGGTTATCAGAAAAGTCTTGACACATTTCTGCATAGAAAAAGTTCTCATGACTACTCTGACAACCCAATAGATCCAACAATCCATTCTACAATGGTTTCTCTGCTTCTAAAGTTACAGTAGAGAAGGGAGTGGGAATGGTTCAAGACAAAGCTCTTTCTTTCTTTTCTTTTTAAGAGAGAGATCTTTGGTATAAGGTTTGTATGCTCACCAGAGAGACACAGAAAGTCAGAACGTCCCCCCCCCCCCAGGGGGATGGCCATACTGCAATTCTTTCTCCTCCATTTTCCTCTTGGGATTTTGGGCATGCATACATGCATATGTGTTCAGCATGAGTTTTAAGCTGCTAGGTCTGGGCCTTAAACCATGGTTGACTACATGGGAGTCCAGCCATGTAACCGTTACACTATCTGCTGGTCCCTAGACAAAGCTATTTCTATTGATATAAAAAATGTTTTAAAGAACATAGTTTACTATGTACATGACACAAGTTACTTGATTAAATAACACCTTACAGGTGTTATTTAAGAATTAGTCCAGAGGGTCCAGCAGTTGGCAAATAGCTACGTTGCTGGACTCCCATGTAGTTGACCACAGTTCGAGTCCCGGATCCAGTGGCTTAAATTCATGCCAGGCACATGTGTCTGCATGCCCAAGATCCCAAGAGGAGAATAGAGGAGAAGGGATTGCAGTGTGACCATCCCCCCTGGGGGGTGATTTCTCGCTTTCTGTCTCTCTGTCTCTGTCTTTCTGGCAAGCGCACATACCCTATAGCAAAAACCTCTTCAAAAAAAAAAAAAGAATTAGTCCAGAAATGTTTCCCTCCTCCATCACATTTTTTTAACTCCACCTTCTTCCCCCTCGTTTTGCCATCCTAGGACAACATGGTCACACTCTTCCGCCAGCTGCAGCAGATGACCTACAGCCTGATTGAGTGGCGCTCCCAGATCCTGTCTGGGACGCTCCCCAAGGATGAACTGGCAGAGCTCAAGAAGAAGGTCACAGCCAAAATCGATCATGGGAACAGGTAAACCAGGGATGACTTCTCCCTGCAGATGTGGAAACTGATGGGCAAGTTGATACCAAGGACAGTGTTTATAAGGAACTTCTGATCTTGAAGTCACCAAAGAATAACGTTTACTGCTCTCTCGTTGTCTTGGAAAACATATAATATTGTTGGGAAAAATTTCACAGTGCTTTTCATGGGCCAGACCACATGCCACATGCCTGATCTCATGGTAGCAACAGATGAGCAGGGAACACAGACTTGGACTGACACTGCTCCAGTGCCAGAACATTGAAAGTGACTAAGCATGCGAAGCTGCCATGTTCAGATACCTCTCTATTTTTATTCTAGCAGTGGATGTTAAATGCATAGCAGACTCATCCTCTTTATTTCTATCATCCCCTAACCAAGACCATTGCTAACAGTGTGTGAAAACCAGATTTGCTGTGTCGTACATGTTTCTAGCCTGTTGATCAGGTATGCCACTGCCTCAGAATAGTTTATCATTTCATTTATGTTCTCGTAAGTGCAGGCAGATATGACTGCCTTTTGGAAATGAGAAATTCTGTAGCTTTATCCATATATATTGTGGCTTGGGAACCATGCTTTCTGACTAGCTCTTTTTAAAAGACCCAAGTGACTCCTCAGTTTTTGTTGGTGATTCATTGGACAGTTGGTTTCATTTTTCAAAATTTTTCACCTTGTGCATGTGATTTTTTTTTTTATCCTTCCCCTTTACCCTATTTCTCCAACCTCAGTGCTCTTTGATATCCCTCAGGGATTTGTTAAAACACAGCTTATTATTCTACTCATTTAAAATGACTTGGACAAGGCCAGCAGGTGGCGTGGTGGTTAAAGGTACTGGATTCCCACATGCCCTACTTCAGTTCGAGTCCCGGACCTGGTGACCTGCTTTCTCACCTTCTCTTTCTCTCTGTCTCTGTCTGATCAGATAAAAAATAATAATAATAACAAATGAAAATAAATAAATAGATAAATAATTATTTTTAAATAAATAAAATGACTTGGACTTCGAAAGCTATATTCAGAAATAACTGGAATAGGGGCCAGCAAATGGCATGGTGGTTAAGGGCACTGGATTCCCACATGGCCAACCATGGTTAGAGTCCTGGACTTGGCAGCTTGCTTTCTCACTTTCTCTCTCTCTCCTTGCTCTCTCACTCTCACTCTGTCCCTCTCTGGTCAAATTTTAAAAATAAAGTTAATAAAATAATTATTTAAAAAGAGAGATAGCTGGAATAAACATAACATGCAAGATTCAGATGCACCCAGGATTTATGAAATGACTTCTATGTAAACCTACATTATGTTCATTTTAACCTTATGAAGTAGCTGTTATTACTTCCATTTCATGGGTAAAGGAGCAGACCAAGTGAGCTTAAGTAACTTGCTTCAGAGTCACATGCATAACAAATGGAAAATGTACATTGGAATCCAAGACTTTTGACTCTATGTCTAATGTTCCTTTCTTAGGGTTAAGAATTAACAGCCCCCTTCCCCAATATTTGGCCACCCAAAATACCACTATCATAGTGGTGGCACTGACAAATATACAGAGGACATTTTAAAAAGCCAGCCAGGGTCCAGCAGATGGCATAGTGTTTAAGGCTCTGGACTCTAATGTGGCTGACCACAGTTTGAGTCCTGGACCTGGTGGCTTGAAACTCATGCCAGGTGTGTGTGCATGTGTGCCTGAAATCCTAGGAGAAGAATGGAGGAGAAGGGATTGTGGCGTGGCCATCCCCCCGGGGTGGTGATTTATCACTTCATGTCTCTCTGTCTCTCTCTGTCTCTCTCTTTCTCTGGTGAGTGCACACGCCCCATAGCAAAAATCTCTGTCAAAAAAAAAAAAAAAAAAAAGCCAGCCAAGGTGGCATAAAGTAGTTCCCCATTTCATATATACTGCCTCTGTCTTTTGGGGTCTTGCCACATTGGCCCAGAGATCTCCCTACTCTCTGGCAAAAGAGGTTAACATGCCATGTCAGGGACATGCCTGCTCTCCCAGGCTGGGGCTTGGAAGCAGCTTGGGAAACGCTGTCAGTGCATTCATGATCCAGGCTCCAAGCTGCCAGCAAGGCCATCGTTCACGAGTCTGGGTGGCCTGTGGGTCTGGCTGCTGCGGAAAGGAACCTGCCAAACATAATCAGTGGCTGGAGGTGCAGTGAAACAGGGAGGAGGGAAGTCACGCTCTTTTGCTTTCTCCCAAGGACTTGGCTCATTTCACCATCGTCCCTGAGCGTTCTTGCTGTTTGGACATTCCCACTTCCGTGTTGCTGGTGCCTGGAATGCACATTGGGCATTCACTCAGCAGTATCCTGTTTCCACCACAGTCGCCCCCACTTCTTGGAACCAAGCAACCTTTTTTTCTGTTTCTGTGTGCACATTGGTGTAGGGGATTGTGCTCACCATGTGGCTCTTACTATTCCCGTGTAGCACTCAGAGCCACAACTGAATTCAGCCAGTTGTTCCCTTGTACCCACTGCTGACACTTACTGAGTGATTACTCTATGCTCAGTATTATATTCAGTGCTTGGGACTAGCAGATGGCATAATGGTTAGATCACTGGACTCCCATGTAGTCTACCACAGTTCCAATCTCGGACCCAGTGGCTTAGTCACGCCAGGCATGTGTGCATGCATGCCCAAGATCCCAAGAGGAGAATGGAGGAGAAGGAATTGTGGTGTGACCATCTCCCTGGGGGGGTGATATCTTGCTTTCTGTCTCTCTGTTTCTCTCTTTCTGGTGAGTGCACACACTCTGATACAAAAATAAACCTCTCCTAAAAAAAAAAATATATATATATACACACACACACACACACACACACACTCAGTGCTTTACATGCATTAACTCACTAAATTCTCACAACAGTCTTGAAGGATAGAAATGTTTACAGCTGAGGAAACCAAGACTTTGCGAGGTTAAATTGCCCAGAGCCACCATGTTATTAAGTATTAAAACCAGGATTCAAATCATGATCCGAATGATGCCAGAGCCCGTGCTCTGAGATGAGTTATGAGACAGGAACAAGCCAGGACTTACTTCACTCAGCTCCTTTAAGATAGTCTTAAATTAAGGAAATCAAGGCAAGCCCTCAAATTGCACAGCAGTCTTTCATCATGCCTATGCCAAATAACAGAAGGCTGGGGAAGGCAGCATTGGTCAGAGTAATCTGGTCCAATCAGTGCCAAACTAACTTGCCTTTCCTGGGTCTGCAGACCGAATTACTTTGCATAGCTTTGCATGAGTGTGGCCTACATTATCTCGTGGGTTTTCTAACCTTGTCGTTAGAGGGAAAGAAGGCTGAGATTGAAAGGAGAAAAGTCCATGAGCTGTTCTGGACTTCTCCAGCCCCCAACCTTTCCAACTTCAGAACCCTCTGAGTCCACTGATGAGGACTTAGCAGTGAAGCGTCTGCCCCTGGTGGGGAGAACCAGCTGATCACTCTTTTCTTTCTAGAATGCTTGGGTTAGATCTTGTAGTGCGAGATGACAACGGGAACATCTTGGACCCAGATGAAACCAGCACCATCGCCCTCTTCAAGGCCCATGAAGTGGCCTCAAAAAGGATTGAGGAAAAGATCCAAGAAGAGAAGGTACACAGCCTCACCTGTGTAGATTTCGGCTGCTGAGGTTTCATTTTTGCTTTGGTTTTAAATGAAAGAAAGGGAGTCATTGGCAATACAGGTAGAAGTATTTAAAAAATTATTTGTGTCCTTATTTAAAAAATGTAACAGAGCAGGGCCCAAGCCAGAGAGAGAGATAGTTAAGGTGGCTGGATCCCACATGACTGACTTCACTGTTCAAGTCCTAGACCCTGGTGACTTGAAAAACCTGCCAGGCATATGTGCGTGCATGGCCAGTATCCCAAGAAAAGAATAGAAGGGACTGAGGCGTGGCCAACCTCAGGGGGTGGGGAGGTGGGTGATTTCTCACTTTCCTTCTCTCTCCCCTTGTCTCTGTTTCTCTCCAGCAAGTGTATATTCCCTATAGCAGGAAAAAAAAGAAAACTCCAAGTGTATATTCCCTATAGCAGGAAAAAAAAAAAAAGAAAAATTTTTTAAAAAGAGGAACAGAAAGAGTGGGGCAGCTATATTTGATCTGATATGGAAAGATTGCAAAGATAAGTGAAAAAGCACAAGGTACAGAACAATATATATAAAATGTTAATATGGACATTGCAGAGAATATGTGTGTTTGCATATGTAAAGACTAACTCTGAAATGATAGTGGAGAAACATAATAAATGGACTCCTCTGGCAATAACTGGATGGGAGGGAGACTTTTTATTGTGTTTCCCTCTGGTGTTTGGTATATATATATGTATATACGTATATATATATATATATAAATATATTATGGTTTTCATAATAAATAATATGTACAGTGAAGTCTTTCCAGTGGAATCTCATTTTCAGTGATCTAAAGTAGGGTAATGGATCGTGGGTTTTGTGCTTTTGAGCCTCACCCAGGAGTTATCATTAGAGAGCAGAGCTTCATGGAACTACTAAACCCGAGAGTTATCACCTTAGGCGGCTCTTACTGAATCACTTGGATGCAAGGCCGTGAACTGTTCAGTCTTGATCATCCCAGTCATAATGATTCCTTTTTGCTCACTTGGCGGGTCACTTGTCTGCTTTCTTCTCCACAAGGCTTCTCCTCTCAGATGGTCATTATATATACCTGCTTGCAGGCCAGTTCCTTTGCCAGCATTTTCCACTTGCTGAATCAAGATGTTCTTTTCTCTTTTTCTCCGTGTTCAGTCAATTCTGCAGAACCTGGACTTGCGGGGCCAGTCTGTCTTCAGTGCCGTCCACACCTACGGCCTCTATGTGAACTTTAAGAACTTCGTCTGTAACATCGGGGAAGATGCAGAATTATTCATGGCTCTCTATGACCCAGACCAGTCCACTTTCATCAGGTACCAGAAATGCAGATCACCTGCTCTTGGCCTTACGAAAATACCCACCGTTCACTCTCCCTACATAAGGGGCACTCTTTGCTAGGTTTGAGAAGGAAAGATAAAGAAGAGGGGGTGAGTTTCTAGTAGTGGAAATTAAAGTGCTTTGGGTTATTAAGGCTTTATGTGTCACTGCTGAATCAGTGCAGCCACGGTTTGTAAGCTCCCTGGGATTTAGAGATCACATAAAACTCATCAGGATGTGCAGATAGAAACAAAGAATTTAAAAAGCTATAGGGAGGAGATGAGAGAGGGACACATAGGCAGAGCATAGAGGGTTTGGGGGACAGTAAGCTATTCTGTATGCCATGCCGGTGGTGGATACATGTCATAAATATGTCCAAATCCATGGACTATACAATACCCAGAGGGACCTCTACTATAAATTGGTGGACTTCCAGGTGATAACTATGTGTCAGTGTGGGCTCATCAGTTGTAACAAATGTACCACTTGGATAGGAGATGCAGATAGTGGGGGAGACTGAGCTGGGGCCGGGGTTGGGGTGGGGGGGGGGGGGGGGGGGGGGTTGCTATAGTAGAACTCTTTGTACTTTCAGCTCAGTATTGTTGTGAACATAAACATGCTCTATAAAAAATAAGTTCATAGAAAAAATTTTTAACAAGTTTATAAGGAATGATAATAGACATTTTTCAGCCATAGAGTTGCACTCCCAGTGAGCAGTTAGGAAAGTGTATGAGCTGGCCTCTAGCACAGTGGTTAAATGCCATGCAGAATAAACTGGATCCCACATGGCCAACCAGGGTTTGGGTCCCTTCACAACATACCCAGGCACTCTCATACACGCATGTGCCAAGGACCCTGATGGCTGGAGAATTGGACTGCAGCATGACCAGGCCCCACTGGAGGCTGCTTTCTCTTCCTGTCCTTCTCTCTCTCTATCTTTCTTCCTCCCTATCTCAAGCACATGTTCTCTGGCACCTAAAGGAAAAGAAAAGAAAGAAGAAACATAGATTTATTTTGGGAAACATTGGTAAAAGCAATTACCAACAAATTACTTTTTTCTAAAATAATTTTTTTTCTAATATGATAATGTAGATTACAGGGGATAGATTTGGGGTATCTATTAACAATTAAATTTGTGATCCACAAAGCTGAATCTTTTTTTTTAATTATTATTTATTTAATTTTATTTATTCATTCATTTATTTTTAATTTGACCAGAGGGAGACACACACAGAGAGAGAGAGAGAGAGAGAGTGAAAGGAAGACACCAGGTCTGGGACTCGAACCGTGGTTGGCCATGTGGGAGTGCCCAGCACCTTAACCACCACGCCACCTGCTGGTCCCCACAAAGCTGAATCTTTTATACAAGGAAGTTGATGGAAGGAAGACCACAGACAGCAGCATCTCATCACATCTGGTGTATCTTGAACAGTTCTCGTCCCAGATCTAAATGAGGTGTGCCATGGTGAGCCACAGCAGGGACATTTCTCTAAAGCCAAGAGACCTGTGTGTGGCATGGCTATCGTGTGGCCACAGTTCCTATGTCAGCCACCCTCACACCTTGCCTGTGAACTTACCTGGGCATTCCCACCTTTCCTCTTACCTATGTAAATCTGTACGAAAGGTAGCCTCCATCCCTAGTTAGTTTCTCAATAAGAATAATTATTTTTTCTGGGGGGCTGACAGGTGATGTGGTCTTTAAGGTGGCTGGACTCCCACATGGCCGATCGTGGTTCAAGTCCTGGACCTGGCAGCTTGCTTTCTCACTTTCCTTTTCTCTCTCTGTCTCTCTTTGGTCAACTTCAAAAAGATAAAATAATAATAATAAAATAATGACAATAAATAAAAATAAATAATTCTTTAAAAAGAATCATTCTTTTTCTTTGCCAGTGAGAACTATCTAATTCGTTGGGGCAGTAATGGGATGCCCAAGGAAATAGAGAAGCTCAATAACCTTCAAGCAGTGTTTACTGTAAGTCTAATTTTCTTTTTAATAATTTTCATTGTTTATGATATTAGCAGATGCCTAAGTACAGTCACAGAATGACAATGCCACAGAACGACTTTTTGGTCAACAACACACAGGGTGTATGACAGTGGTCACATAAAATTGCAGTGGGCTATACCATATAACCTAGAAGTGTAGTAGGCTGTACCGTCTAGGCGTGGGTAAGTAGACTCTCACAGGTACACAGTGACAAAATCGCCTGACAGTGCACTTCTCAGCCCGCATCCCATCTTTAAGTAAGCATGACTATACAGAGAAAACAATAAAAAATAAGAGGAAAAGTCACCATGATCTCCCTAGCAGGCATAGCCCACTCATTCATTCCAACACTGTTCAATACAAGCACTGGTTTAGGCCCTTCAGAGATATCTGCGAGCAAATCAAGAAGCATAATCCCTGTTTTACAAACAGCTTTCGCCCTAATGGGAAGACAAATAATAAACAAGAGTCAAATAAAGAGTAGATGATGTAAAATGTTACAAGTCCCAAGTGCTTCGGGGATAGGATCATCTGCACTGGGGGGAACGTTGCCCGTTGGTCATGGAAGCCCCCTGAGAAGGAGCTGTTTGAGCGAGGACTTTGAGTTGGTGAGAGCGAGCTGTGCAGATGACTGGAAAGAGGGCACTCCAGCCCGAGGTTGCAGCCCTGGCAGACACAGATCTAGACATTTTTGTCTGCATATATTTGAATGGGCTTTGCCCTCTCCTCCTCTCCTGCCAAGTGCTGGCTCATGAGCAAGGGAACATACTGGGCTATATAGTTTGGGGCATGATGGTGCTCTTTTTCCTTGATATGGAAACTTTCGGGGGTTCTCTCCCATCTTTTATGATGTCAGTGCTTAAAATGCCCCAGCACTGTTACCACATGCCCTGAGAAGTCTTAGGGAAGTTGTCACCAGACTCCTTAAGGCCTGAAGGAGAGACTCTCCCTTTTCATCCTTTTTTTCTTAAGCCCACACGCGTGTTTTATCACCTGTGCTCTTACGACACTTAGGTCTAAAGGCAAGACACTTTAGTGCCAGGAAGGAGCTCTGGTCATGGGACAGGCCAAGTTCTTCTCCCACCATTAACATTCCACCTTAGGACGAGCACAGCTATTACTATCCTTGCCCTGAGCAGTCAGTAGCTTCTCCACCTTGTAAATGCTGCTGAAGAGACCCTAGAACTCTTCCTGAAACCTCCCGTTCCCCCAACACACACACACAGTATTTCCTCGGTTCTGAGATATGTGATGGATTTTTCCCCGAAAGTCAGAAGGCATTTATCAATCCATATGTACCTTTAAAAAAAAAAAAGTTAAAATATTATTGAAACTTTGGTTCATCTTCTAATCAATATCATTTTAGAATAGCTGCAGTTCATCCCCTCCCCCTCATTAGGATCATTTTAGGTGTAAGTTTCACATTCAGCTTTTTCAGTAAAATTGTCACTATCAGTTCCTTGGTAATTAAACATTTTTCAAATACTACATTTATATGTGAGAACACATTATTTAATAACCTCCTTGCTACAATTTATGAAACCAGTCATTGGGAGTCTATTTTCTTCTATTTATAGAAGCCTTGTAGAACTGAGAGTAAAAATTCAGGGTAGATCTTACCATTGGTTTATGTTCCTATCTAAGAGACCTGTGCTAATAACTACGTGACAGGGGATGGATTTGGAATGGTTGTTTAAAGAGGAATTCTTGATTTAGTTAAGAGAACTTGGGCAGCTGTTTCATAAAAAGAACAAGAGGGGTAATAAAATAATTTCTGAGGTTAAAGTGAATGAGAGATGTGAGCTCATTCCTAGGTTTACTCACCCATCTTTAATAATACAAACAAGTATAGAATATAACCACCAAAAACAACTATATATGTGTATGTGTGTGTGTATTACATATATGATATATAGGGAGACATTTCATCTACACTTCTCTAATAATTCAGCATACACTGAGAAGCTCTCAATGGCTTTTTCTCGTAAATCAGGTAAATCATTACAGAAAGTGGTGTCTGTGTTACAGTTGCCTCACAGGATTGTTTGAAAGATGAGATGAAATATCACAGGCTTCTATGGATACCCAGTAAATGTCACTGTTAATGCAAGCTTTTATTTAATTGACACTGAAATGCATCCTGTACTATGCTGTGCCCTGGAAGGATATTAAGTAGCAGCAATGAATATCCTGAGTTTTAAATACCCTATTTAATTTGATATATAACTAGAGACTTCAGATTGACTATGATCTGTTCTGTCAGTTTGCAACTAGAGAATTTAAAAAGCACCGTTTAAAAAATAACAGATTGGGCCGGCAGGTGGCATGGAGGTTAAGGCACTGGATCCCACATGTCCGGCTGTGTGGTTCAAGTCCTGGACCCGGCCACTTGAAAATTGCACCAGGCTTGTGTGCATGTGTATCCAAAATCTTAAGGGGAGATTGGAGGAGAAGAGATTGTGGCATGGCCATCCCCCCTGGGGGGTGATTTATATATACACACACACACACACACACACACACACACACACACGTGTGTGTGTGTGTGTGTAAATAAATTTTTTTTATACTGTATTAGTTGCATGGGTCTGGGGAGAGAGGAGTCATTTTGATATTTTGGCATTGAGACTATTCTGAACATATTCTGTTGTATGAGGGGTGATCTTCAAAAAGTCTATGAAAAATATATATCGTGAAAAATCTATGCATGAATTTATAAACATTTTTGCACTATAACAAAACAAAACCCCCCACAACTAAACAGACTCATACTTTCATCTCATTTTTTAATGGACTTGCCGAAATACCCTTGTAGAATGAAAGGAAAAGAGAGCTGGTGGCAGAATGCCCCCGCCTGACCTCTCCCACGTGTTCTCTGACCCGTTAGGATCTCAGCAGCACAGACCTCATCCGGCCCCGCATCAGCCTCGTGTGCCAGATTGTCCGAGTGGGCCACATGGAGCTGAAGGAGGGCAAGAAGCACACCTGTGGACTCCGAAGACCTTTTGGAGTAGCAGGTACAAAAAAGACCCAGAGACAGATGTGAAATAGCAAAGAACATGGTGGGTTCTTAAAAAATTAAACGTCAAATTACCATGGAATCCAGCAGCCTCACTTCATGACACATACACCAAAGCAAGGTCTCCGGGAGATAGGTGTATACCCATATGCATAGCAGATTATTCACAATAGCCAAAACGTGGAAGCAACCCAAGTGTCCATGAACACGTGAATGGATAGGCAAAATGTGTCCTGTTCATACAGTGAAGTATCATTGAGCCCTAAAAAGGAGGAAAATTCTGTCACATGGTACAGTATGGGGGTGGGGGGGCTTGAAGACATTATGCGAAGTAAAATAAGGTAGTTACAAAAAGACAAATACTATATGTTCCCATTTAAATGAAGTACCTTAAAGAACCAGCAGGTAGGGTGGTGGATAAGGTGGCAGTATTCCACATGGTCAACTGGTTAGTTCAAATCCTGGACCCTGCAGCTTGAAAAACACAGCAGGCCCACATGGGTGTATGCCTAGAATCCTAAAAGGAGTAATGGAGGAGAAAGGGTTATAGTGTGATCATCCCCCTGGGTGGTGCTTTTCACTCACCCCCTCTCCTCAATTCCTCTCCAGTGAACTCACATGCCATGCCCTAAGGCAAATTTTTAAAAAAATGAGGTATTTAAATTAGTCAGATTCATAGAGGCAGATGGCGAACGGTGGTCTCCAGTGGCTGGGAGACGAGGGAATGGGGCTTGGTGTGGAATGGGGAGAGCTGAAGAAGTTTGGGGATGGCTGGTGGTGATTGTTGCAGAGCCATGTAAGTCATTAAACTTGTACTTTAATCCCATTTATCTTGAAATTTTTGAAAGTTCAGCAAAATTGTATGTGCAGCAGAATTAAGAGATTCTGTGTGTGCGTCTGTGTGTGTGTGTGTGTGCGTCTGTGTGTGTGTGTGTGTGTGTGTGTGTGTGTGTGTGTGTTCAGGGTGCTACATGTGGTGGGAATGGAGAGGAAATTAATTTACTGGGGGCCTTAATGCCAAGCATCAGTAGAGTACCTAGATGATAGCATTGACAAATGAACTGCCTGTTTTTTGGAGATCAAATAAAAATTTCAAAATGTTTTTTCGGTACAGTTTTTACGGGGTCCCCTTAAGGGCTGACAGCAGCTGCACGTGATGCTCTGCTTTCTAGAGCTTCTTTCACTGAAGTTATTATTCTCAAGCCTTATACACCGTGTTGTCTGAGTTATGTTTAAGAAGGCGTTTCTTTCCTAATCCTTAGTTTTCTGTGAGAATTGTCTTGTGTAGCAGTACTTCTTTTCATTGCTCAATAGGTTAGCTAGTGAATGGATTGTTAACGTAGGTCTTATGACCAGACAGTAATTAATTAACCCAGGAGTCACCTCTTGCTGGAGGCCCTGACTGATTTCAGCAACTTGGGAGCAGCCCACTTATTCATTCTCTGGCAGCTGGATACAGTGCGCATGTGATTTTGCTTGGTAGAACTGTTGAGTTTACACCCTGACTCTTTGACACTTAGGACCAAAGCAAGTTCTTTAACTTTGCTGTGCCTCAGTTTCCTCAGCTCCCAAAGTGGAGCTGATAATGTCTGTATAAATTTAATAATGCGAGGGGCTGGGGCCAGGCTGGCTCAGTGGTAACTCAGCTGAACCCACATGGAAAATGTGTTGGGTTCATATCCCAGGACTCCCTGAACACACAACAGGCATGCACGTGTGTGCCCAGGATTCACAGAGCTGAATCAGACAAGCTCCATGGCCTACTGGTTAAGGGAGGTGGATTCCACATGGCTGACTGTGCGTGGTCTGAATCCTGATGCTGGTTGTTTGAAAAACACACCTGGCAGGTGTACCTGGGCCCCCAAATCATGGCAGGGTGAGAAATGGAGGTGTGATCATTAACTTTGGGGGCATGCTTTTCTCCCCTTTTTTCTCTCTCTGCCTCTCTCTCTCTGTCTATGTCTCTGTCTCTCTCTGGCAAGCACACGTACCCTCTGGCAAATTAAAAACAACAATAACAAAAAAGACTGATGGTGAACCACGGAGTGAGGACCCTGTTGGGACTGTCTATCTCTCCCCCTTCCTCCCTTTCTTTCTCTCTCTCTCTGTCTTCTCTTGAGACGAAATAAAATAAACTTAGAGGAAAAACTTAATATAAGAACTCTTTGAAAATTTTATGGAAAATGGTATTATGAAAAAACTATGCATGGGGACCAGCAATTAGCATAATAGCTATGTCACTGGACTCCCATGTAGTTGACCGTGGTTCGAGTCCCAGATCTAGATGCTTAAACTCATGCCGGGCGCATGTGCGTGTGTGCCCAAGATCCCAAGAGGAGAATGGAGGAGAAGGGATTGCAGCATGGCCATCCCCCCTGGGGGGTGATTTCTCTCTTTCTGTCTCTCTGTCTCTCACTATCTTTCTGGTGAGTGCAAATACCCTATAGCAAAAATCTCTCCAAAAAAAAAAAAAAAACTATGCATGAATTTCAAATTTTGGAGTACCAAAATAAACTCGTAATTTAATTCCATTTGTCTTGAAATTTTTGAAAGTTCAGCAAAATTGTACGTGCAGCAGAATTAAGTGCTCTTCTTGTGTGTAAAGCAGCAAATTACTGTACAGTCTGTTTTGTGCAACTGGTCTCCTGGCTTATGTGGAAATCAGGTGAGACCAAGTCAAGTGAAACAGACAGCTGACTTCTTTCTGTCTCAGGTTTCTGTCCCGTTCTTTAATTCTTCTGGCACGCCTGCCAAAAATATGTGTTCTCTGTGTCTTTCCATGTAGGCTTAGTCAAAACTAATCTGGTTTCAAATTTCTCAAGAATTTAACAACATGATTTTATAGAATTAATTAATGAATGTATTTATTTAGTTTTGCTACGGGGCACATGCACTTGCTGAGAAAGTTAGAGAGGGGCAAAGTGAGAATGCAGCCCCCAAGAGGGATGGCCACACTGCAATTCTTTCTCCTCCGTTTTCCTCTAGGGATCTTGGGCACACGCACAGTGTGTATTTCAAGTCGTAGATCTGGCATAGTCAACCATGTGGGATCCAGCTGCTTTAACCACCGTGCCAGCCAGTGGCCCATTTTGTCGAACTTTTTAAAGGGGTGGTCTGAGGGGTTGGCCCAGGACCCCCAGGGCTCTTCCCTGAGCCCCTCATGATCTGCTTCTCTGCTGTGCGGACTATGCTGTGGGAAGTCACCCTTGGCAAAGAAATAAAAGAAACGCCCCTGCTTGGTTTCTTTCATCCTCCAGTGCTGAGTTTGCTGATATTGTCCTTTTCTGTAGGAACTTACCGAGGCATGAAGCAATTAGTTTTTTTCAATTAAGTTTATCTTTTTCCTAGTGATGGATATTACCGATATCATACATGGGAAGGTGGACGATGAAGAAAAGCAGCATTTTATTCCCTGTCAGCAGTAAGTACTTTGGCAGTTATCCCGGGGGACTTGACACCTAGATTAAGCTTTCACCTGGTGTGTTAACACAGAGCCAGGTGCTGGGGACTGTTTTCTTCATGAGAGGAGGAAGGACTTTTAAGCTGAATGATTAGCAGATAGGACCTTAACAAAATGCTTGACTCGAAATCCTTTTTCTTGGACTCTGAGGGGGTAGAATGAGCTTCCCTGATTCTCCACAAAAAAGAGTAAATGTCCTCCTTGGAAACCAGAGAATGGTGCCCCCGGAGTGTCAGGAAGGCCAGAATACCCTGTACGCCATCGTGTGGCACAGGTAACGTGGGAGACAGGGAATCTCGTTGGAAACACGGATTCTCACGCTGTGTCAGGCATGTGCATCCCTGAGGGCTTCTTGAGACTGCAGAGTGTGATCCAGTTAGGCCTGCGGGCTGTGTTTCACATCACACTCCCAGGTGATGCTGAGAACTCCCGGGTGTTGGTCCAGAGACCACACTGAGAGCAGAAGCAGTTTACTCAAGCAAAGGCTTAGAAAGAAGCAACTGAAGAGCTAAGTTGTGGATCAGGGTTCCTGGCAGTGCAGGGAAAGCCAGCCTGGGAATACAAGAAAGGGTCCCCTGGGGACCAGCAGTTAGCATAATGGCTCTGTCGCTGGACTACCATGTAGTCGACCACGGTTCACATCCCAGACCCGGTGGCTTAAAAACTTACACTGGGCGCATGTGCATGCATGCCCAAGATCCTGAGAGAATAGAAGAGAAGGGATTGCAGCATGGCCATCCCCCCTGGGGGGTGATTTCTCGCTTTCTGTCTCACTGTCTCTCTATGTCTGTTTGTCTGGCCAGCGCACGCACCCTATAGCAAAAACCTCACCGAAAAAAAAGAAAAAAAAAAAGAAAGTCCCCTGAAGAGCTATGTGGAGAGCACCCCCCTTCCCAATGTGTGCTTCAGGAGCTACAGCTGTGGGTGGGCTAGTGGGCAGCTGTCAATGAGCAAAATCCCAGTCCCTATCACTCTGAGTAAGTGCGGGGGAACATGCTGAGGGCTCAGGCAGTCATGCTCCTCTCTCCACCTGCGCAGGGTGGAGGCCTAGGAGAGCCGGGGGGTATTGCTGGAACTGACCCCTACCAGGGCTGTCTCAGTTAAAGGTCATTGTCCCTGTTAGCTTGTAGCTGTCATGACAGGACAGCCGATCATTAGATCAAACTGAGAATTCCAGAAGCCAGTCCAAGGATATTCAAATTAATATATCATCTTTCTACAAATGATATGGCAACTCAATGGAAATAGATAAATTATGCAAAAGGAAATATTTTGGAGAAAATTGACTTTCTAAGAACACGGCAAGCAGAATAGTTTACGTAACTTAGTGCTGATTTTAATTGTGAGATAATTTTCATATCCATGAATGCTATACCTATTCTTTATATTTATTCACTTACATATATAATATATAAATGTATTTAAATAAGTACATTAAATATATCAAAGTGAATTTAATACAATGTTAACTTGTTAACAAATACATAAATATATTATATACATTGAAAGAGCAGAAATACATAATAGAATATAAATATATTATAATATATATTTATATATAATGTTCATATCCATGACTCCTGCTTCTATTATCTATACACATGTATTTAATGTTACTATATGTATGTATAAACATAACAGCAGAATTCATGGGTATTACTGCCATCTGAAATGAGTAGTTAGTTATATGTTTCGTTTCACTCTTGCAGTGGTTTTCTTCCTTTGGTTAAATGCTTCTCTCCTTAATTTCTGAACCAGCTCTTGTCCGATAGCTGTGTCACAACTGCCGTGAGATTGTTTAAACTGTATAATAATAGATGCTTTGAGTCCCTGAGGAACCCAGCCCTAATTTGATTACCGCTCACTGTGTAGCCAGCAGCCGCTGTAACGTGTTCCCGATGCAGATCACAACCTCTGGCATTTAGCTCCTAAGATTTATGGCAAGTGCTTTCAAAACCTACTTCAAAAGCTGTGCAGCATATTACACAGGGAGGGCTTTGCATATGTTCTGCTAGTCCATCTAGAGAGCCATGGGAAAAGACCAGCAACTCAGAATATAGCAGTCCCATTTTCAGCCACATATTGCAGCATGGCTTATTGTCGGGATACAAGGAACCCTGCAGAGAGAAAGCTGGCCTGTGGGAAATGGGCAGAGAAGACAGAAGTCTATTGTACCGCACCAGGCCGATCAGCGGTCTCTGATAGCGCTTCTGCCGTCTATAGAATGGGGGCTGTGTTTGCTTCTTTGATCACCCTCTCTAGCCTCAGCCCGATGTGATCATTCAAATGGAGCTTGTTTTCCAGCACCCATGCTGGAAGTGTCGGCCATGATAGCATGGGAATCTATACCCTTGCCAAAGGCCCTGCCAGAGCTTTGGACAGGTGGCCCCCCACTTACCAGGCTCTACAGGATTTTTCAACTTGATGAAATAAACATGATAGGTGTTCAGAAGGAATCGTTGAAATAACCATATAACCATTCTGTTTTTTCACTTTTCCTTCAATATGCAATGAATTACGTGAAATAGTCAACACTTTATTCTAAAATGTGTTAGAAGATTCAGTCCAACCCTAGGCTAATGGAAGTGTTTGGAGCATATTTAAGGTAGGCTGGGCTAAGATATGGTGTTCAGCAGATTAGATGTATTAAATGCATTTTCACCTTATAATATTTTCAATTCATGATGGATTTATTGGGCGGTAACCCCATCATAAGTTAAGGAGTATCTCCTGGCACTTAGATGGAAACATCAAAAAGCATATCATCAAGCCTGTCTCCTTACACATGAGGAAACTGAGGCCTGGAGACCCTTGCAGAGCTCACTACCAAGTAGGACTAGCCCTGGAGACCAGCACTCCCACCTCTCCCACAGTCCTCCTTCAATTCCATTACAGCAGCCTTTTCTACCTCAGAAAAAGTGTCAGCCATTGCCTCTGACCTTAACTGTATTAAAACAAAATTACAGCAAATTTAGTTTAAAGGGTATCATTGGCTGTTCTGACAGTTCTGGACTTGGACAACCTTTTTCCATAAAATAGAATAAGTGTTCTGATGAGCCGAGAAGAGCTGGTTTTATAGACAGAAAAGACCTGAAGGAAGCAGGAACAAAGGATAAAGCGCTGATTGGTCATTTCCAAGTTACTTTCCTTATAAGAGGGAGACGGAGAGAGAGAGAACAATAAAAAAAATAAAATAACTGGTTAATCAGGTTATTTCAAGTTACTTTTGTTAAAGGATTAAAGGCAGAAGGAGCTTTATTATCATGCCAATTAAAAGTGTCCTGTCCATGGGCCAGCTCAGGGTCTGGTGAGTATGTGAGCTGGCTTCTATGTTGCCAACTGCACGGCTAGAGTCCCAGACCTAACAGCTTGAGAACCACTCCAGGCACGAATGTGTGTGCCTACTACCCTGAAGAGAGAAATGGAGGGGAAGGGATCGCAGTGTGACCATTTCTCTTTCTCTGTCTGTCCCCAGTGAGTGTATATGCCCTCTGGCAAATTAAACAAACAGAAGAGCAAAAAAAAAACTGATCTGTTGACCTAATTAGTCTGTTTTCTCTCTCTCTGATAACTTAGTTTTGGTTGGTGAAGTGGACTTTAGCATGAGTGACGCCATTTTAGTTTGATCTGGTCTGTTGGAACTCAGAGCTGGAGCTTAATCTAAAGTTATGATCTATAATGTTTATTTAACAATTGATAACATTTGGCTGTCACTTATATTCTTGTTTATTTGTTTTTTATCTCTCTTTGTCTCAGGTCATTTCTAAGCTGAATTGACTGTTTAAGGTAGACACCCAATGGAAAAGTAAAGATGGAAAGAGCCCTCTGCTTACGCAATTAATGTTTATATTTCCACTTACTCTAGAGCACTTCCAGGGATTCACCACTGTCTGAGGTTGTGCTGTAAAGATTTTGGTTTTCCTCCTGTCCTTCTCACCTCATTCCTCTTTCCTAGGATTGCCATGGAAACCTACATCCGCCAGAGGCAGCTCATCATGTCACCCTTGATAACATCCCATGTGATTGGGGAGAATGAGCCTCTCACCTCAGTCTTAAATAAAGTGATAGCAGCGAAGGAAGTGAATCACAAAGGACAAGGTACAGAGCCCTAAGTACTGAGCTGGGAAGGGACTTTGGCTAGGGTGTGGTAGGATATCCAGTGCTCGGCCCTTGGACTCCTGCCTTTTCATTATCATTCTTTGATACAAAACAGCCTCTGCTAGGACCGCCCACCTCAGCTTCCTAACAGAGGCATTTGATGCTGAATGATGAGAATACTCTTGTATTCACAGCTGTGAATTGGATCTCAGTTGTAGTTTGTAAAATCTATGGAGCAATTTTTTATCCTGTGAGTGTTTTCCTAACTTTGATCTACTCTACATTCCCAATGCTGACTTGCTGACTTTAGGTAAACTTATATGCCAAATAGAGATTTGAGAATAATTGTGTTCTACTCTGAATAAGTTTATCTCATTACATTTCCTTAAATCAAGAGAAGAGAGATCAGAATAATACAAACAAAATATGTACTGGGGCTAGCAGGTGGCATGGTGGTTAAAACATTGGACTCCCACATGGCTAGTTGTTGTTTAAGCCCAGAACTGGTGGCTTGAAAAGTTAGACCAGGTGCATGGGAACTCAGGCCGGGTGTGTGTGTGTGTGTGTGTGTGTGTGTGTGTGTACGTGCGTAAAATCTTAAGAGGGGAATGGAGAAGAAGGGATTGCGGCGTGGCCATTCCCTCTAGGAGGTGATTTTTCCACTTTCTGTCTCTCTGTCTCTGTCTCTCTGGAAAGCGCATGTGCCCTATGGTAAAAATATCTGTCAAAAAAAAAAAAAAAACAAGAAGAAGAAAAAGAAAATCATGCTTGGCACAGGACCATCAAATGGCATAATGTTTACGTTTCTGTACTCCGACATAGTTGACAGTGGTTCAGGTCCTGGACCTGGCAGTTTAAAACTCACACTGGGTGCCTCTGCATGCATGCTCAAAATTCCTAGAGAAGAATGGAAGAGAAGGAAATGCCATGTGACCTTCTTCCCTGGGGGGTGATTTCTTGCTTTCTGTCTCTGTCTTTGTCTTCTCGTGCAAACATATGCATCCTATAGCAAACAATCTTTAAAAAAAAAAAAAAGGAAAATCACACCAGGTGCATGTGTGCATGTATTCAAAATCCCTAGAGGAGAATCAAGAAGAGATTGTGGTGTGGCCATCCCCTGGGGGGGGGGTGATTTCTTACTTTCTCTTTCTCTTTCTCTCTCTGGCAAGTGCACATGCCCTGTGGCAAAAACCTAAAAATAAAATAAAGTTCCTTGGTATTATTACAGAACATATATGTTTTTCTCAACATTTGTGTGTATGTGTTCTATAGATTATACAGAAAACTAAAAGTTTATCTTTTACTTCTTTAAAGGGCTTTGGGTATCCTTGAAACTATTGCCAGGTGACCTCACACAGGTTCAGAAGAATTTTTCACATTTGGTTGATAGATCAACAGCAATAGCCCGAAAAATGGGCTTTCCTGAAATAATCCTGCCAGGTAAGCACTTTGCTTGACTCGCCCATTTTTCTGTGTAGAGGATAGTTGAGGCAATTTGACTCCATACGACTTGGTTATTGTTTATATTTACTGGCTGCAAAACAGTAGGTGACAGAAATAGGGTTGCAGTACCCTAGAAAGCCACCCTGAATGCAAGCCCAAGATGACGTTTTTAAATGTAACTCCACATTTTCTACTCACCCTCTCTTTCTTTCTACTCTGTGTAAACCCCTCCCGAATGCTTCCCAACACTTGCCTTACTGTGAGCGAGCGGATGGTAGTACGGAGTTCTGGCACAGGAGACTCGTTCACTTCATTCACACGTGCCTTTTCTCATTAGGGAATGCCCAGCGCCGTGGTCTCCTTGCTCTGCTCAGTCTCAGGGGACCCTCTGCTCTATTTTCATATGCTCCAACTGTCTTCCAACTTTCCCCATTCTCGTGGTGACCAGGATGTAAATACTGTGCAGCTTCTTTCGTGTCATCTTTTTTACCACCCCGGGTTGGGGATCTGCACATGTGTTTTCTTCAGGGTGCACTCACCCATGCCCTTCGTAATCATGGAAGTAAAAGGAAGTCATTCCCTCAAGGACCTTCACACATAGGAATAGAAATTAATTGCTATTAATGAGAATTCTAGAAAACCAACTCTGCCATGTGAGGAAGACTTATGAAAAATCAACTTGGGGGACCAGCAGTTAGCATAATGACTGTCGCTGGATTCCCACGTAGTCGACCCGTGGTTTGTAGTCTCAGACCTGCCGGCTTAAACTCACGCCGGGCGCGTGTATGTGCGTGCCCAAGATCCCGAGAGGAGAACAGAAGAGAAGGGATTGCGGCATGGCCACCCACCCTGGAGGGTGATTTCTCACTTCTGTCTCTCGGTGTCTCTCTGTCTTTCTGGGGAACGTACACATCCTACAGCAAAAACCTTTCCCCCAAAAAATAAATAAAATAAAATAAATATCAACTTGATACCTACTGCTTAAAATTCAAGTTCTTTTAAAATAATACAAGGTCTTTTTCCTCCTCTGGGAGGTGAAGGGGCAATGGTAATTTGTTGCACATATAGTCTACACATCCTGGAGTTTGGATGAATGTGGAATGAACGTATTAAAGAGCTATAAAACGGATATTATTCTTTTCTCATAAAAGAAGGTCTTTTTTGGTTATTTTCTGCTTATTTCATCTATTCTAGGCCTATTTCAATCTAATACGTATTTACTAGCATTCTGGGAAAATATTTTGTCTACTTGTTAAAATCTTCTTATTCCCTAACTAAAGGCAGTTTTACTGCTACAGCAAACAGAAATCTGAAAACAATTTTAAAAATTATTCCTTGTGCACACAAGTTTACCTTTGAAATTTGGGTGGAAAAACCATTTTATTGTTAATGCAAGATAAAGGGCATATATGTGTGCATGAGCAACAAAAAGAGTGAGAAAGAGAAGGCATCCCCTAGTGGGCCAGGCTATGGTACAATTCTCTTTCCTCTGATTCTCTATCCTGCCAAGATCCTGAGCATAGGTGCTTGCACACCCAGCTAGAAGCTAATGGGTTCAGCCATGTGATACCTGGCTTCCTGTATACAGTGCTTAATTACTACACCCTGGGGCCAGCCAAGAGAAGGAATATTAAGATCCTTTTTATTAATAGGATTGACTTACAGAATGTCCAGGCCATCAGAGGCTTTAAAATTCATCAGGGATGATGGTGTACATTTCCCTGGGGCCACTGATAAAACTCCTTTGCCGCCTCGTCTTTTACCTCACGTCAGTAGTCCTCAATTGTTGGTCCTTAGGGCACATATCAGTTTGCTAATAATACCTAAGTGACTTCAAGAACAGAACTGTATTTTCTCACATTTCTGGAGGATGGACATCCAAGGTCAAGGTGTTTATAGGCATCCTTGGGCCTTTCGAGACCTCTCTCCTTGGCTTGTATGTGACCTTCTTCTCCCTCTGTCTTCACAGGGTCATCTCTGTTTGTGTCCCAGTCTCTTATAAGGACGCAGGTCATATTGCACAAGAGCTCACTCATAGGACCTCATTTTGCCTTAAGTGTTTCTTTAAAGGTTCTGTCTCCTGATATAGTTATTCTCACATCCTGGAAACTAGGGCTTCAACATGTGGATTTGAGGGAAACAGTTCATTCAGCTCACGACAGGCCCTCTTTCCTCCTTACCTGTGTCCTCTCCCTAAGTGGTCTTGTCCATTCATTCAGCTCCCATCTGTTAACACCTTCAAATCCTAGTTTCTAGCACCCCTTTGAACTCCTTGACCATACAACCAACTACTTCCTACCTCAGGACTCCAGTGGGTACTGTTTCCACCCCCAGTTGGAAAACTTCTCTCCTGTCTTGGGTTGGTTAATTCTTAGTCATCATCCTTATTCAGACATCATAATCCTGTGCATTTAGACCTGGGGCTCCTCTATTGTATTTTATGTAAGAGACCAGTGCTGCGATTGATCCAGCTGAGCAAACCAGAAGCCTGCCAGTACCCCTGACACCTACCTCCCTTTCCTTTACACCTCACACAAGTGATTGGAAAAGACCTGCCAATATTACCTGTAGAAGACCTCTGCAACCCACCCCCCCTCGCTCCACCTTTTCCGCCACCACATGAGTTGGAGCTACTGTCATCTCTTCCCTGGACAACTGCCATGGCATCATAGTTGGCTTTCTTCAGTCTGCTTTTCCTCCTCTGTATCCTCTTCTCTCTACTGTGGCATGGATGACCTAAACACACCAGATTCGTCCCACTCTGCTGTTGCTGAAAACATTCCATTGACTTCTATTTAGGTTCGGATGAAGTTACAAATTCTTCATTTGACCTGTCAACCTTGGGAGATTGGCCTTTTGTTTGTCTCTGAAGCCTCTTTCCACATTAGACACCCCCTCACTATGAGGACTAAGGCCGTATAGATTTCTACTTCTGGGCATTTGTACATCCTGCTCTCCCTGTCTATGATATCAGCTGAAAGGAAGGATTCCCACACCTTCCAGATAAGGTTTGGGCCGTGTAATATGCATTCATAGAGCCTGGTCTATTCTTCATGTGGAGTGATACGTTGAATTGTTTGATTATTTGGTTAATGCTTCCTCCCTTGCTACTGTAGACCATGCAGGAGGGCAAGGCTGATGTATGACTCACAGTCGTCTCCCAACCACTTAGCACAGTGCTGGGGACAGAATAGGTGCTCAGTCAGTTTTTTATGAATATCACCCCATCATCTGGTTATGCCATAATTTATTCAACCAACTCTCTGTGATTGGAAATTGAGGATGTTTCTAAATTTTGACATTCACAAACAATACTGTAATAAATTATCCTTATAAATAAATAATTGTTCACAGTGTTAATCCTTTGGGACAAATAGTACCAGTGGCCATTGCTGTGTCAATTACGGGTTTTGATACAAATTGTCACTTTCTTTATTGACAAAGACTATGTCAAGATTTCAAACTGAAATATGTGAACAAGCTTATTTTCCTTGGCCCTCAGCAACTATGGGAAGTACTTTTTTTCCCCAATTGGAGAAGTGGAAAAAAGTAATCTAGGGGCCAGATGGTGATAAAAGTGTTAAAACATAGCCTCTCCAAATCATTTCCATATGGGAAGGTTCCCGGTTCAAGTCTGGAGACTTCCCTAAATATGCTGGGCATGCTTGTGCCTCTGATCTAGGAGTAGATCCGTGTTAAGATCCTGATGGGGGGACCAGCAATTAGTGTAATGGCTCTGTTGCTGAACTCTCATGTAGCTGACAGTGGTTCGAGTCCTGGACCCGGTGGCTTAAAACTCACGCTGGGTGCGTGTGCGTGCGTGCCCAAGATCCCGAAAGGAGAATGGAGGAGAAGAGATTGTGGCATAGCCATCCCCCCTGGGGGGGGGGGTGATTTCTCGCTTTCTGTCTCTCTGTCTCTCTCTGTCTTTCTGGCAAGTGCACACCCCCTATAGCAAAAACCTCTTCCCCCCAAAAAAATAAGATCCTGTTGGCAGTGCTAGCTCTTCCTCTGTCTGTCTTCATGAAAGAAATAAACTTTCAAAAATGTATTTTGGTCTCTATGGAAAAGTAGAAGGAAGTAAGCTAAAGACAGCCGTACACAGGGAAGACTCTTGGTGTCTGAATATTTTATTATAAACGCAAACCGAGTCATACTTAATTTATCTTTTATGTCCTGAAACTTAAAAACAACTTCTCTCAGCAACACTCACAGAACAGCTTGTCATGTTGCAGGAGATGTTCGGAATGATATTTATGTCACCCTGATCCATGGGGAGTTTGACAAAGGGAAAAAGAAGACGCCAAAGAACGTGGAGGTGACCATGTCTGTGTATGATGAAGAGGGTGAGCTCTTAGAGGTATGAAGCGTCCCCAGAAGTCCTGCTGCCACCGCATCCCTCTTTAACGATAGACTTGTGGGCTGCTTTTAATTATTCTCTACATTGGGACGGGTTTTGTTTTCCATAAGAGAAAAACATAAAATGTTAAATTCATGGTTAGCAATTACCAGTCTTATTGATGAAGCCATTGGACATTATTTTCATATTTCTCCTGTGCTAAGAAATAACTCCAGCCAGTAATGACTTTAAGCGAAAGGTTCTGATGCAGAGGTTCGTTATTACTTTCAAGTGACTGTGCCGCTCTCAAGCACGATAAGTTCACGTGGGGCTTGAGTAAAGTGGCCTGGCTGTCCCTCAAAAGGCACATTTCCTTCACCTGAGCAGAACCAAAGGCGACATGCCCATCAGAGAGGAGGGAAACTAGGAGAACCCTTGGGCAGAGGTCAAGTGCTTCTGTACTTTAGTTTTAATAATCAGAAAACTGGAACATAAAAAGTGTTAAGTCGATCTCCATCCTCCCCACCCCTGGAAAACACAGGTATTAGTGCAGAGCTGGGAAGAGATCCAGTGTCCTGACTTACACTCCAGAGTTCCTCCCACTCTGGCAGTTTTCTATCCATATGGAGAAGTCAGTCTTAATCTGATGTCAAGAAGAAGGCTAGAGATGATGTAGTTATAGGAGGTCTCCCTTACCTTTGCTGAAATCTGACACCCCTTGAATGAGCCCTGGTCACCTGCTTTGCAATCCAGAAATTGAGCTCTTGGTTCACTCAGCCCTGAGTGTCCTGTTGTGCAGGTCCTCAAGGACACAGTGAAATACAACCTGCCACTTTTCCATGGATGTTGTAATCTTTGAAAGAAATAGATATCCACGCTGTTTACTAAGCCAGGTCATCTCCGTGTTAGAGGGATAAATACAGTGTCATGGGCCATCATCTGGAGGTGTTTCATCTGTATAGTTCATAGACCCCTTGAGCCCCTTGAGCTCACTTCAAGGCTACATCTTCTCGTTGTTAGTTGTGTTATGGCTTTGTTCACCAGTGTGGAAGTGCTTCAGCGAGCCTGGTTCAATGCTAGGAAAAGACACAGCCTTGAAGTTGAGTGGCTGTGCTGTACCAGAATAACAAGTCCCTAAAGCAAAATGCAGCCAGGAAGGAGAAATTGTTTTTCTCCAACAGCAGTACATCTGTCTATATGGCCGAACTCCTAGTCACCATCGTGAGGTCACTGTTCCCTGCGGAAGAAGAGGAAAGAGGAAGGAGAATGCATGGGTGGGGATGGAAGAGAATAAAAGTTATAGGAAAGAAAGTGGTAAGATGGCCTTGGGTCCCTTAGTGCTACCATATTTATTATTTAGACCCTTAAATAAAGTGGTAGACATTCATTTTTACCCTCCTCTTCACGAAGCCTTCACACTTTCTCAGCCTGTGGATGCCATTATGAGGCCTGTGCTTGACACTTCGGGAATTGAGGAGGAACGCTCGGTATGGAGAATACTTTCACTTTTCGGAACATTTTATCTCTTCCTAATTTTTTCTTTCCATCCAAAGAAAGCAATTCATCCTGGTGCTGGATACGAAGGCATTTCAGAATACAAGTCAGTAGTCTATTACCAAGTCAAGCAGCCCTGTTGGTATGAGACTGTCAAGGTGAGACTTCAACATTTGTAACCCTTGTCATCTCCTACACCTCCCTTAGGTTTTTAGATTCCTGTTTTCTTTCCACCCCCATTTTTTTTTTATCCTGCAGTTTTAGGTAAGTTGCCTATGGGATCTGTCTGAGAAGGGAGCTGGTAATTCTCTTCTGTATAAGAGCATTTGTCCTTCCTGGGAACCAGCAGTCAGCATAATGGCTATGTCGCTGGACTCCCATATAGTCGACTGCGGTTCACGTCCCGGACCCGGTGGCTTAAACTCACGCTGGGCGCGTGTGCGTGAGTGCCCAAGATCCCGAGAGGAGAATGGAGGAGATGGGATTGCGGCGTGGCCATCCCCCCTGGGGGGTGATTTCTTGCTTTCTGTCTCTCTGTCGCTCTCTGTCTGTCTGGCTAGCGCATGCGCCCTATAGCAAAAACCTTTCCCCCCCCAAAAAAAAAGTTTCAGGAAAAAAAAAAAAAAAAAAAAAACTGTTTTTTTTTTTATTAAAAAAATTCATTAAAAATACCTATTTGATGACTGCAGTAAGCTATACAGTGCTAGCTAGGTGCTACTTTATAGTATGTTCATTCTACTCACTGAGGTTTATGCCTAAAGACAAACTTGTGTTTATGGATATGTATGTATCAGCTGTGCTTGCTATTGAAAATATTTAGATTAATTAAGATATTTAGTGAAACAATAAAATGTTGGGAGAAAAGGCATATAAAGCAACCATAGATACCAGAGACAGTGTGGGAGGAGGGTGGGAGATGGCAGAGGGTGAGAGATAGGGAATCAAGGATGGGAAAAAAGGCAAAATATACAGGAAACAAGAAATGGAGAATTATTTGTTGATAATAACACATAGGTTGATGTGCTTGATTGAGCCAATATACAGTGTATTCTGGATGGAAAAATCTCATTTTGTATGCTGTAATGATGTACAGTGAATGAATGTAAATACATTTTTAAAAAATTAAAAATTTCTTCAAAAAAAGAAAAGAATTGTTCTCATATTTCAATTCATAAATTCAAAAGTAACAATTTTTTATAGTTCATATGTTTTGAATGATGCCCTGTATACAAATTTATCTCAAGGCATTATAAGTTCTTAAGAAATGTATTTTTAGTTACTTATATCATTTTCCGGTATATAATCATGCCATAATTTATCTACTCACCACAGACTCTGTTTTTTTTTTTTTAAATTGCCCAGTGACTCTGTTTTTACTGTTTTTATATGTAAGCAACAGAAGGCTTCCTTGATCCACTGTTTTATTTTTTACCTTCTGTTATTGACCCTAGTTATTACCATGTCAGTGCAGGTAGCATGAAAGGTCTCGTATAGACCTCAGAGTACCAGTTACTTTCCTCGGAAGCATTTACTGTTCCTTTTTTTAAAAAATTTAATTTATATTTATGTTTATATTACTCACCACAGACTCTGTGTGTGTGTGTGTGTATGTATATATATATATGTGTGTGTATATATATATATATATATATATATATATGGGGTTTTTTTTGCCATAGAGCATGTTGGCTTGCTGGAGAGAGACAGAGAGGGAAAGTGAGAAATCACCCTCCGGGGGGATGGCCAATCCACAATACCTTCTTCTCCATTCTTCTCTTGGGATTTTGGACTTGGATGCACATGTGCCCAGTGTGACTCTCAAGTCGCTGAGTCTGGAACTCGAACTGTGGTCAGCCATGTGGGGATCCAGCGCCTTAACTACCACGTCACTTGCTGGCCCCAGAATTTACTGTTTCTTGAGAAAATAGTGGAAATTCAATATATCTCCATACTCAGAGTCCTTAATAAACATCGAGATGATCTTTTTATTGAGATTATTTTAGTTTGCTAATAGCTCAGTGTCCTTTGAACGAAACCTTACACCACGTCTCAGTCTGTAGTAATTAGTGCTGTGTTAAGACACTAAAATTGAGCCTAATTCTGTATAATGAGCCATTGGTGCAAGTCCTGTGTATCTATAAACTCTTATTTCCTTACTGTCATGCAGGTATCCATTGCAATAGAAGAGGTCACACGCTGTCATATCAGGTTTACCTTCCGGCACAGGTCATCTCAGGAATGTAAGTGTTAGGAGGCCTACGGCATGTTTCCATTTCTAAAAACTTGCTATCACTTGTCAGTGCTTCTGTTGATCTGCAAAACAAGATCTATGGACACCAGACTCTTTGCAACTTTACTTCAGAGTTCATGAATGCTAAGGAAACCAGAATAATGAATTTTGCTGGGCTTCTGAGGTCTGTGTTTTCACCCTCTGTCAGTATTACCCCATGATGTGTTCTGTGAAAACTTAACATTCTGTCAGATGGTCTATGCAAAAAAAAAAAAAAAAATTTCACAAATAGGTGGAGGAAATATTGTCTGTCCCCTTCTCATTCACAGTGTATGTCGCCATATTGCTGATACTTCCTGAAGCATGAAAACTGTTCGGACTCTTCTGTCCAAATTATCACTTTTTCATTAAAGAAAATTTCATAAAAGAACCATTTCAAGTTGTTAGTGACCGTTTCTGTTTCTGAAATGGCTGCTCTAAAGGGCAGAGAAGAAAACATTGTTTTCAGACTGATCACAAAATTTCCAACAACACCTTGTTCTCATTCAGTATCTTATAAAGATGAAACCCTTCCTTACAAGATGAACTAGTGGATACCATAAACCAGGCTGCAGGCTGGGCCTTGGTGTGTTGCAGCCAGTAGGACACTACCACACCTATGGCCTAGTTCGGAAGGTCGGACCAGAGAATGGGTGATGGTGTACAGAATAGCACGACATGTCCTTTGGCAGAGAGTCGTGAGGGGACACATGGCACGGCAGACAAGCCAGTGTGGGGGATTTGTGTATGTGATTTCCTGTATCGTAGCTGAGACTTAAAGGTAGGTAGAAATTAGCCCAGTCAATGGCAATGGGGGAGAAATGCGTTTGCAGAACTGAAATGAGCTCTGTGCGGCTACAGCGAGAGCAATAATAACATCAGATTTAGGGGGCCCGCGGATGGCCTAGCAGTTGTGTTGCTGGACTCTCACATGGCTGACCACACTTCGAGTCCCGGACCCAGTGACTTAAAACTCATGCCAGGCATGTGTGCATGTGTGCTCAGGATGCCGGAAGGAGAATGGAGGAGTAGGGATTGTGGCATGGCCATCCCCTCAAGATGTTATTTCTCACTTTTCCTCCCCTCACTGTCTCTGCCTCTCTCTCTCTAACAAGAACATGTGTCCTAAGGCAAAAATGTCTTTAAAAAAAAAATGTCAGATTTAGAACTAGAGATAATGCAGGTATCCCAGGGGCAGTTCAGATAAGTGAGTGTTTAAAGCAGCTTACTGTAGAATAGTTGGAAGCTACAGACTGGATCTATAAAATTAGGTCTATAACATAATACCACTTTGTTTCATTCAAAATACGTGTATACCTGACCAGCAAGCAGTTAGCGTAATGGCTATGTCGCTGGACTCCTACGTAGTCAACCTTGGTTCGTGTCCTGGACCTGGTGGCTTAAAACTCACGCCGGCCACGTGTGCGTGCGTGCCCAAGATCCCGAGAGGAGAATGGAGGAGAAGGGATTGCGGCATGGCCATCCCCCCCAGGGGGGTGATTTCTCGCTTTCTGTCTCTCTGTCTCTCTCTGTCTGTCTGGCGAGCACATGCGCCCTGTAGCAAAAACCTCTCCAAAAAAAAAAAAGAAAGCATGTATACTGAATAATTTTATATGGATTCAAGATGTATACAAGTAAAAGGAAATACATTAAAAAAGTAATCATTTCAGATTATTATCATATGAAAACTACCTTTTATGAGGATCAAAAACTGGGCTGGCCCAATAGTCTTGTTAAAGGAACAGGATTCCATGTGATGAACAGCTGTTCAGACCCTAGCCCTGGCAGCTTTAAAAATATGTCGAGAGCATGTGCCGATGGTACAAATTCCTGACAGGATGGAGAAACGGAGAAGAGAATGTGGCATAACCATGCCCCTTTGAGGGGCACTTTCTTCCCTCTCTGACTCTCTCTCTCCCCCCTACCCTCTGACAATTAAAAAAACAAAAAAACAGTCAAGGGGCCAGCAGGTGGCCTTTGAGTCAGATACAGTAGTTTGAGACTCACACTGGGTACGAGTATGTGAGTCTCCCAAGAGGAGAATGGAGAAGGGATTGTGGACTGGCCATCCCCCTGGGGGGGTGGTAATTTCCCATTTTCTCTATCTCTGTCTCTCTAGCAAGCACATATGCTTAGCAAAAAAAAAAAAAAGTCAAATATCAGCAACTTGTTACGGTTCTACACTCTCCTAACCTTCTCCTAACCTAGCAGTTATTGGGGACTTAGTTCTTACCAGACATTATGTGAAGCTCCATTGCTACACAATCTTGTTTAGTTTCCACAGTGATCTAATAAGGTGCACAGTGCTTTTGTCCACATTTGTACATAAAGACACTAAGGCACCAAGAGGTTGTATATTGGCCTCTGGTCACAGGCTGGTAAGTGATAGAATCTGGACTGACACCTTTGCAGTCTAAGAATGATCAACTGGAGCCAGGTCATGAAGGATAAAGATTATTTTGGAACCACATTAAGGAGAAACCATTAAAGGGTGGTTTCTAGTTTTGGTGTTGGGTTTTGGTTTGGTCTTGGTTTCGGTACAGAGTAGTAACAGCTTTATTCATAACACCCAACGTTGGAACAGCCCAAATGACCTTCAGCCGGAGAATGAACAAGAAACGTGATGTACTCATGCAGTGGGTTATTATTCGGCCCTTGTGGGGTACATAAGTCACAGCAGACCTTAGAGTTGTGTCTGCAGTGATAACAGGCCACCAGGTACCCCAGCCATAGACACCCAAGCAAAAGACCCCGTGGCCCATGAGGCTGACCCTGGAAGAGCAGGAGAGACATGCTCTGTCCACCTGTGAGGCAGGACCCTCCTCCCCAGAAGCCACAGGGCGCCCATATCTGCTTCCCCTGGCACCTGGTGTGATACGTTGGGAAGGAGAGCATGAACAGAAGTCCTTCCATAAACATTCCCAATGCCCAGCAGTGCTCTTAGCATAGAAATACCCTAAACATTGATGAATAATAAACTACAAGTTCTACAAAGGAAACAAACATCCAACTATTTCACTTCCTCCAATTATGTGGGCAACATCATAAATTCTGATTTGTGATGTATACCTTACCAAGTCTCTTAGGACAACAGAAATTGAGAATAGCCCATTCAAGGGTTTTGAAGCAGGTGGTTGACATGGTTGAATTTGAGTGTGGACACCCCATTTTCATTGAGGCATGGAAAAAGTGTTAGGTGGGAGAGGAGTAGGGGCAGAGACTGGTTCAGAAGATCTTGTAAATAAAGGAAGTAGGAGAAGGTGGCCTGAACTCAGGAACCAAAGGAACAGAGAGAAAAGGGACAAAGTCCAGAAGTATTAGGACATGTGGTTGACAAAGGGTGGAGCTGGAGTCAACATGCACATTTCTGATTGGATCAATTGGCTGGATATTCCCTAACCTCACAAATAAGAGCATTCTTGGGGGTACCAGAAGATTTCAGTTTGGGGAGCCTCTGATACACCCAGCCTGTGCAGTTTTATGTTGCTTGCCAAATGTCACACCCCAGAGCAAAATGTGAAATCAGCCGTCACAGTCATGACCTCCTCATGTCTTTCTGCACTGCTCAGACATGTACTTCTGTCTTTTCAGCCAGAGATAAGTCGGAACGAGCATTCGGGGTGGCCTTCGTGAAACTGATGAACCCTGACGGCACCACTCTGCAGGACGGGAGGCACGATCTGGTGGTTTATAAGGTGGTGTTAACAAACTGGTGCTCCAAGAATAGCTGGAGAAATATCAACTGCCTTTGAAAGTGGCTGTTAAGGCTTTGTCACTTAGGTGTACAGACATCAGAAACCTCTCTAAAGCTGTGTGTATGTGCCCCTTAAAGTACGGAAACCCGGAGGGCTCTGGTAGCATCAGGTGCACAGTCTGCCTTCCCCTTTCTGGAGAGAGAGTGCTGCATTATTATGTAGTCTTTAAAGAGCGTCTCCCCCTCTTCTGCAAGTGGAGTTCCATGGCAGTGAATCGAAGGGGAGCTTCCCTAATCTGCTGCGTGCATCGTCCTGCGTGGAGCATCGACAGTTGCAGTGTTGGGCTTGGTTAGAGCGTGTGGTGGGCATGGTAGGATGTGGTTTTCATATCACCATGAGCCAGACGCTATTTCTGTGCTACAGGGCCTTGCTTCCTTCCCTAGAAGTTTTGTCCCCATTCTTTCTTCTTGTAACTGTTGCCAAACTATGGCTTCTACTGAGATTTTTGAGTATAAAATAGACACTAAAAGATCTCACGTAGCCAACAACATTCAGAGGGTTGTCACACAGTTGCCTTCTAGTGATGAACATATTTCTTACCATCTCCTTAGTTTGCAGATAGAATTGTGGCACAGCAAGTTAATTCTTCCTCCATCAACCTGATGAAGTGTAACTGTGACCATTTATAGGTTCAAGAAAATGAAACCCAGCCTTGTTCTTTATTCTAGCAGAGAGTAAGATATTCCTGTTTCTAGTTTTTAGTTCATTCCACTTTCAGATGAGAAAATTATTCCTGGACTCAAACTCTGTAGAAAGATATCACAGTGACTCAGACGTACAGGAGATCTTAAGTATAGTTTGCTAACAGTATGATTCTCACGCTGGAAACACTCTGTGCTCACCATAGAAATTATTTTTTATTTGCTCAGGGCGACAACAAGAAAATGGAAGATACCAAATTCTACCTGACCCTGCCCGGGACTAAAGCAGAACTAGAAGAAAAAGAGCTCCAGCCATCCAAAAACCTGGCCGGCTTTACCCCAAGCAAGGAGAGCACAAAGGATAGCTTTCAGATTGCCACCCTCATTTGTTCCACGAAGCTCACCCAGAATGGTAGGTGTGGTGGCCACTGAGGCACAGGAGCTTTCTGCTTGGTCTGGTGTGCTCCTTCATTAGACTCAGGGCTGGACTGTGTGGGGCTAGGTCCTCTGAAATGGAGATCTGGCCAGTGGAGTTCTGTTCTTGGCCCTTCACATGCTTTTCTGGGTAGTCCTGATCAGGTAAGTTAAAGCTGCTACCAAGGTGGTGGTGTCTGTCGTTAAAACAGGATGAAAAGCGTTTCTGTCATTTTTAGTATCATGATGCCTATAAATGTATTCATTAATTGAGGATATAAAACTCAAAGTACTATGTTCCTTCCTTCAAGTCAGCAAAGAGCTTTGATAATATGCTTTGTCTAGTATTATATAACTAGAGATATTGCTAATGGAACAAAACTGGCCAAAAAAAAAAAAAAAAAAAAAACGTAATCGGTCTCCTGTCTAAACAGGCACAGTAAAAGAGCAAGTTTCTTTTTCTTTTCTTTCCTTTTTTTTTTTTTTTTTAAGGTTTTTGCCATAGGGCATGTGTACTTGCCAGAGAAAGAGACAGACAGAGACAGTCAGAGGGAAAGTAAGAAAGCATCCCCCCAGGGGTATGACCACACCTCATTCCCTTCTCCCCCCATTCTCCTCTTGGGATTTTGGGCATGCATGCAAACACGTCTGGTGTGATTCTCAAGCAGCTGGATCTGGGACTCAAGCTGTGGTCAGCCATGTGGTAGTCCAGCTCCTTATCCACCACACTACCTACTGGCCTGAGCAGGTTTCTTCCTAGACTTTCATCTGTCTCCTATGTATTTTTCTCTTTCCAAGCAGTCAGAGACTTTCCATAGAATCAGGCAAGTATCTGCAGTGGGGCTTCATTTGGTTTCCTCTTCAGATCTCTCACAGTGGCTTTAACCTCTCTCTTGTGTAACATGACATTCAGTAGCCAATAAAAGCTTCTTACTCTTCCATCTATAACAGGTAAGGAGACCTATTGAGATAATGGGTCAAGCATCAGCTCTCCAGGGATCTTGCCTTAGAAATTCTGTATCAAAAAGAAAAAAAAAAATTCTTTATCCATTGTGCTGTGTACATTAGTCTCTGGCCCTATGGATAATTGGGTGAGGTCTCTTGCAGGTGTTCTGCCTTAAGGAACCATGAAGATAGACAAAACATTTTAGATATGCAGTGTAAGGATAAGATCTTGGTTGTTTTTTTGTTTGTTTGTTTGTTTGTTTTGTTTTTTTAAGAGAGGTTTTTGCTATAGGGCATGTGCGCTAGTCAGAAAGAGAGACAGACAAAGCGAGAAATCACCTCCCCAGGGGGGATGACCATGCCGCAGTCCCTTCTCCTCCATTCTCCTCTCGGGATCTTGGGCACACACGCACACGTGCCCCATGTGAGTTTAAGCCATTGGATCTGGGACTCGAACCATGGTTGACTACATGGGAGTCCAGCGACATAGCCATTACACTAACTATTGGCCCCAAATCCTGGTTATCTTTAAAAAGATCCTATATTGGGTTTGTTTTGTTGAGTCATGGTTGGTGAGAGAATAAGGATAGTATTTCAACTTGGACAAGTGGCTCGACTAAATAGAGTGAAGGTCAGGACTGATTCATGTGCAAAAGTGAAAGCACACACATCAGAGATTTTGCCAGAAAACATTTCGAGCTTCATAGGAGACATGACAAAATTACTATTTGTACCATAACCATTGTTATGGAAAGAGTAAATATAATAAACTGCCGAAGGTTAAAAGGTATGACGTTTATGGAAGATAATTATAAGATATAGCATAGATTTTTTTCTTTCTCTTTTAGGTTTTTGCCATAGGGCTCCTGAGCTCACCGGCAAGAGACAGAGAGAAAGAGAGTAGGAGGAGAAGTGAGAAGTCACTCCCCAGAGGAGAGGGCCATGCCGTGATATTTTCTCCTCCATTTTCCTCCTGGCATTTTGGGCACACACATACACAGACCTGAAGTGATTTTCAATCTGCCAGGTCCCACCATGTGGGAGTCCAGCAGCTTAACCACCACACCACCTGCTGGCCTCAGATTTTAAATGTCTTCAGATCCTTCGACCCAGTCATTTCACTCCTAGAAATTGAATCTCACTGAACGATAAGAGATGTGAACAACAATTTATGCGTGAGGCTTTTCAACCCTGCTACTTAAGATAGGAAAGAGCCAGAAACAACTCCAATGTCTAATAGTTTTATTAAACTACATTTTTTAAGGAAGTTAGGTGATGAACTATATGCTAAACATCATATTTCAAAACATTTTAAAGACTTAAAATAGCAAAGGACAGGACGAAACCTTTTAACATTGTATTACTAGAAATATTCAAACTGTTTGTGGAAAATGCATGTTATAGAAAAACTCCGCATAGATTTCAAAATTTTTTTGCATCAAAATAAATGCCTTCAGAGTCAGCAGGTAGTGTAGTGGTTACATTGCCAGACTCCCACATGGCGTGACTGTAGTTCAAGTCCCAGACCCAGTGACTTGAAAAATCGTACCAGGAGCTTGCACATGTGCACCAAGTTCCCAGGAGGAGAACGGAAGAGAAGGGACTATGGCATGGCCATAACCACTGAACAGTGATTTCTTACTTTCCCTCTCACTGTCTGTGTCTGTCTCTGTCTCTCTCTCTCCCTGGCGAGCAAATGCACTTTAAGGCAAGAACTGCTAAAATAAATGAATAAATAAATGCCTTCATTCCTCTTTTCCATGAACTTTTTGAGGTCTTTTCATATGATCTAAGTGTTGTTTAAGTATGTGGGGACAGGCCAGCGAGAATGACATAGCAGTCCTGCAAAGCTCTGCGATGCTGAAACCACATGTGTGGGCCCTGGGTTCAGGTCCTGAATTTTTCCCTGTGCATGTGTATACACACATACATACACTGCACTCCCTGTACACACTTGCACACGCCCCCCACCCCCACCCCCCCACACACACACTTTTTTCTTTTTCTGTTTTTTTCTTTATCTTTGGAGAGGTTTTTGCTGTAGAGCGCGTGTGCACACCAGAAAGACAGAGAGAGACAGAGAGACAGAAAGTAAGAAATCACCCCCCAGGGCGGATGGGCATGTATACTTACGTGCATGGTGTGAGTTTAAGCCACTGTGTCGGGGACTTGAACCGCGGTCAACTACATGGAGTCCAGCGACATAGCCATTAAGTCAACCGCTGGTCCCCCCGACACGTTTATACCCAAGGTTTCCAGACATACACATGCATGCCTCTGATCCTGGCTGGCTGTGAGGCTGAAGTGGAATCGTGGCCAAAGGACCTGTCGGGGTTGCCACTCTCCATCTTTCTCTTTCTCTTTCTCTTTCTCTCTCTCTCCCTCCCTCCACCTCTCTCTTTCTCTTATGAAAGAAGTAAATGCATAAACTTGTCTAAATGATTCAAATCCCAGTTCTGCCCATCCCCAGTTGTTTCATCTTGGACAACCGACTCAGTCTCTCTGGCTTGGTTTCCTCATCTTCGAAATGGGAGTAATAATAGTATATATTCCAAAAATCAAAACCAGTAAAAACCAACAATATCTAGTTCACAGTAAACTATGAACATTAGCGATCATTATCATTACAAGAGGACTTCAACAAATTCATGGAAACATGACATTAAAACACAAGTTTATTTGGGGACCAGTTCACTTGAAATGAAAATATATTAAATTATGAGTACGTCCCCTTTTTTGCACTACTCACATTTCAGGTGCCCAGTAACTTCATGTGGCCAGTGAATTTCATGTCGGACCCCATGGATACACGTTCTCGTCATCACAAACTGTTCCACTGGGTGACAGTGTGCTCTTAATTTTGTCATCCCTGTTCCTGGTATTTAAATCAAAAGCACAACATAACAAACAACTTAACATGTAAAACAAAAAGTCTTAAATATTATTTCAAAGAAGATTTCAAAAGGCAAAGCTTCTGTGAGCCAGAGTGCAGTTTTCTGCCATCAGCATGGATGCGTCAGGAGAGGGGATGGGCTGAGAGATGGGGACCAGCAAAGGCATCCTGAACAACACTCGTGAATTGTTCGTGCATTTGCTTTCTTCTGCTTTGATGGGAATTATGAGGAACCAATTTAATTTATTCTGAGAGAGAAAAAGCAGAACATTAATAAGGCATCAACTGTATGAGGGTGTTTACTGATCAAAGAGGTAGCTGTTCTCTCACACTGAGACCGTGACCAAGGCATTTCTGCGTAGCCTGAGGGCTATCGAGGCTCCAAAGGTTAAAAGCCACTGGGATTTGTCACAAACAGATCTTGTAAACTCTCTTCATTATTAATTTATTTGATTATTTTTTTTTTAAATCCAGAACAGACTGATTTATATGGTATTATTTATTGCTTGGTCTGTGAAAAGGCTAAGAGTAGATTTGTTGTGGGGCCAGCAGGTGGCATGGTGGTTAAGGTGCTGGACTTCCACATAGTTGACCACAGTTTGAGTTCCAGACCTGGCTGCCTAAAAAATTTTATGTGCGCATGCCCAAAATCCTGAAAAGGGATTGTGATGTGGTCATTCCCCTGGCATGATTTCTCACTTTCCCTTTCACTGTCTCTCTGCTCTGGTGAGTGCTTGTGCTCTATGGCAAAAATAATAATAATAATAATAAAATAAAAATTTTAAAAATCTTAAAAAAGAATAAACTTGTTTCAGTTAAGGAAGAGGGGAATTAAGGTCCATATAGGTATGAGACCTGGTTCTAGGTGCTTCATGCTTGGCTTCTCATTTTAATATTCTGGGACATGAAAGTACCAGTATTTCCAGTATTATCCCTGGCTTACTGGTCTGAAAGTTGGATTTTTTTTTTTTTTAAACGAGAGAGACATTTTTGACAGTGTCTCACCATGTGGCAATCCTCTTGCTCCAGCCTCCCAGTTAGCTAGGCCTAAAAGCCCACTACATGCCCAGCTGGTTTTAGTTGGATGGGGAATTAAACCCAGGCCTCCCACATGGCCTCAGCCTTGAGGAGCCGATCACATCATTACGTCTGAGGTAGGACGTGGAATTGTGAAGTGGGAAAATTTCTTGCCTTAAGAACATAACTGGGAGACGGTCGGTTTTAAAAACATATTTATAGATAGCTGCAAAGTGTTTGTAGGCTTTGTCTTTTCAAGGTTCTTTCTTTTTTACATATTCATTTATTTATTTCTTGCAAGGGAGGAGGATGGGAAGACACAGACATCCTCACTGGGGTCTCACACTGCGATCCACCCCAGCCTCAGCCAGCCCAGATCATGTACCCACCTGAAGTATATAGGGAGGCGACGGGACTCCAGACGATCTGGGACTTTCCCATGGGGGTCTAGTGCATTGACTGCAGTGCATTAATGCTGCTAGTTCTTGTTTAATTCATCGCAGTGCATTAATGCTGCTAGTTCTTGTTTAATTCATCTCAGTGCATTAATGCTGCTAGTTCCTGTCTCTCTTTTTCTTAATGTATTTATTATCATCATAATCTTGTTTATATTGCATTGACTCACATATAACTTTACAGTGTATTACATTTCTTTTTCCAGAAGGAATACCATGCATGTCAGTCAATACAGAGACATTAAAATCCCCATTTCATCATCCAATAGCTTTCCATTGTTTTTCCCAATCATTATTATTATTTTTCCAATTATTTCTTAAACAGTCAATCACTATTTCTCATTTTGCTTGTAAAAAGACTTTACCCAACATGAAGTACTTCTCAGACCAGTCCAATGAGTCCCTCGTTTTCAAAATTATTTCCTAATCCTCACCCATAGACAGTTACTACCTTAAATGTGGAGATTATCCTCCTCTTACTTTTTTTTATAGTTGTACAATCTTTGTAGCCCTAAAAATTATAAAAAGGAGTTAATATTTTTGACACTCAGAGGGAAAGTGAGAAATCACACACACACACCCCCCAGCGGGGGGACAGGGGATGGCCATGCTGCAATCCCTTCTCCATTTAATTTTTTTTTTTTTTTTTTGGAGAGGTTTTTGCTATAGGGCACGTGTGCTCGCCAGATAGACAGAGAGACATAGAGACAGAAAGCGAGAAATCACCCCCCAGGGGGGATGGTCACGCTGCAATCCCTTCTCCTCCATTCTCCTCTCGGGATCTTAGGCATGCACGCACACGCGCCCAGTGTGAGTTTTAAGCCACCAGGTCCGGGATGCGAACCGCGGTAGACTACATGGGAGTCCAGCGACATAGCCATAACGCTAACAGCTGGTTCCCTCCATTTAATATTTTTATGAATCTTAAATTTTTTAAGTATTTAAGAAATATATATGCTTGCATTTTAATTAGGTCGTCTGAAAAGTCTTGATGCAGTTTTGCATAGAAAAACCTAGAAAAATACATCATCACTTTTCCAGTGACCCTGTCCTTTTATGTTGATGGAATCATCCGTGGGAATTCCCTGTAACATGCCTTTGCACTGAGCATTACAGAAAATTTGGACCTTGACTTCTTACACATTGCTAATGGGAATATAAATTAGGACAATGGCTCTATCTTTCTTTTAATTATTATTTAACCTTATTTGTTATTCTTTTTTTAGTAGATCAGTGAGAGAGAGAGAGAGAAAAAGGGAAAGTGAAAAAGGCAGCTGCTAGGTCCGAGACTCAGACTATGGTCAGCCCTGTGGGAGTCCAGTTGCCTCAACCACCACATCACCTGTCAGTCCCCAGTGGTTTTATCTAATATGGTTGAAAATGGTTATTCCCGATAACCACAACTCTGAAGGAGGCAGAATGATAAGAGTAGCAAGGACATAGCGTTTGGAATCGGATAAATGTGTAATTAAGTCCCGTTTCTTCCATTCCTTAGCAATTGTGTGACCTAAGGCAAATAATTTAAGTCCGTAAATCCTGAGTTTATTCATCTGAAAGATAGAAAAAGATAAAATCTTCTGTACCGTGCAGTCGTGAGGTCGAAATGAGTTATTGTCTGTGTTTTTCTTTCCCTCTAAATCTACTCAGACATGGATAATGAAAAATGAAAGTGAGGCAACAAATTAAAGGCAGGAAGGTTACATGAGAGTGCTTTTTAGGTTTTATGTTTATGATGTCATTACTTGAGAAACGTGAGTTCCAGTCGGATACTATTTCATGTTGTCGTACATTAGTGGTTAATTTTTTTCCTCTTTTAGAAAGAAAGAGAGCTGAAGGTTTTCTCTGACTTAGCTAGGAGATAGTAAATTTAAATTTAGCTAGGAGATAGTAAATTTAGAGCAGTTCTCTTTTCTACTATTTTTTAAATTAATTATTTAATATTATTTTTAATTTGATTAGGAAGAGACAGGGTAGGGGGAGGCGAGAAAGCAAGCCTTCAGGTCTGAGACTCACTCCTGTCCACCATGTGAGAGTCCAGTGTGCTAACTACCACACCACCTGCTGGCCCAGAGCAGTTCTCTTTTCTAGGGAATTCTGTAGCCATGTTCTGAATTGGTCTGGACTGTTCCTCCTAATTGATGTCTAATGTTATGGTTTGTGGTCATTCTTTCCAGTCGACCTATTAGGTTTGTTAAATTGGCGTTCCAACTCCCAGAACATTAAACACCACCTAAAGAAGTTAATGGAGGTGGATGGAGGAGAGATTGTTAAGGTATGTTTATATATTCATAATTATAAATATACCTGCTCTGTCATTAGTTCGACATTTGGAACTGAGCCAGTCACTATAAATATAAACTGTACCTACATTACAAATCAAGTGTGCAATATATGAGAGATACTATATTTAAACCCATTCCACTGAACCTTCATTGTCCTCAAATTTCTGCCATATGAAACTAAACGAACACACTAAAATAACCTCTCTGTTTTTCTTCAGTTTTTGCAAGATACACTAGATGCACTTTTTAACATAATGATGGAGATGTCAGACAATGAGACATACGACTTCCTTGTGTTTGATGCACTGGTAAGCAGTTAAACACATCAACTAGCGTTTATTTTTGCAATTCTGTAGTTTCTGTATTTCACTATTATAAGCAATTGACAACTGGCCTGGGTAAATATTTATATATATCTCTGTGATTATTTCTTTAATTATTTTTTAAGAATTATCTACTTAATTTTATTTATTATTATTTTTAATTTGCTATAGGGTATGTGTACTCACTAGAGAGAGAGAGAGAAAAAGTAAAAAAACAAGCCTTGACCTCTGAGACTCGAACCACAGTCAGCCACGTGGGAGTCCAGTGCTTTAACCACCACACACCACTGGACCCCCTGATTATTTCTTTCAGTGAAAGTCCTAGAAGTAAAAATTAAAAACAGATTACTTAAATTTCAGGTCTTTATTTCCATGTTTCCTATTAAATCGTTTTTATATGCTTTCTTGTTTCTCTTTAGGGAGAACAAGTTGCTTTTTTATGTTAGAAATTAGGAACCACTTTAAGTTCCTTTACCATTGTCTATTGTAAATCAGGAGATAATGCTAACAAAAAGATCATTGTGTGTTGTATGTGTACGTGCTTAAGTATGTGCATTTACATGGTCATGAGTTCACAAGTCAGAGATGAATCTTAGCCTTATTAGGTAAAGAATATGAACTAAAAAAATGACTGAATTTGTCATGCAAAGTCCTTAAAATGGAAAACCCACTGACCCCAAACAAGAACTGAAGTCGGGATAGAGATTCGTGCTATTAGAATCAGAGGAGACCAGGAGTGACGGTGGAGAGGAGGAACCTGACATTTCCAAACCGAGCATCATGTTCTTATTGTTGGGGTGAAAGTTCAGGGCAGGGTTTTACCCGAATATTCCAGCCAAGGAGAAAGGTAGACTGCAGTTTTAGGTGAGGAACTAGCTGGAGAAACCAATATGCTCAAGAGCGGTCAGAGTATTAAAACTGAGAATGTAAGCTAAAGAGAGGAAATGCCAGCTCGCTGAGGTCAAACCCAGTTGGGCATAGAGGAAGGAAGGACTGTGGCTGTGCGTACTGTGGGATGAGGTCTGCAGATGATCCTCTAGGACAGAGCAGCTGAGAGTAGGCATATGTGGAAGTCTAAGTCCCTCGTCCTCTGCACTCCTCCATCCTAGGCAGTTACACTGTGGTTTTTATAGATTATGTGCCAGATGGCAATGAGGTCACAGTCTAGGGGGCACTGGAAGACAGACCTCTGGCAAAGTTCAGTTATTGGGGTACTTGTTTTGTACTCAGGAGCACAATGTCATGGGCTGTCTCACTAGCCATACCCCCTTTCCATAACCTTCTCCTCCTTTGCATTCTCTTCCCTATCTTGTGTGACCTGGGTACCGACTGCCCTCGCATTGAGATGGTAAGTTCCCTGAGGCCAGGCATGCTGGTTTTTATTGGTTTCTTCCTGGCCTTTTGCACAGTGTCTGACCTATGTTAGTCTATTTATATGAAATAAATATAAACCCCAAGACTTTACTTTAGCTCTGGAACGGTCGAGTGGGAATGCTTAGAAAAATGATCAGGACAGAAAACAAGGCACCCAAATGCTAAAATCCCAGCTTATTGACAGGATGCCTTGGGGCTGTGCTGTGCTGCTATTTATATGTTTCACCTTTGGCAGGTATTTATTATTTCACTGATAGGAGACATCAAGTTCCAGCATTTTAATCCTGTCCTGGAAACCTACATTTACAAGCACTTCAGTGCCACTTTGGCATACGTGTAAGTATGACTCAAGGGAGCTTTGTGTGGTCGGATTATTGGATTTGTCTTCTCATGGAGAAACAAGAGAGTCCTGTGTCCAGTAAATGTGGCTTTGAATGTAGAACTTTGTCTTAAGCTTCGTGGTGGAAAGAGGGAACCATTTTAGTATTCTAATCCTGAAAAAGGTGTCAAGTTCAAGCTCTTCCATATGGGAAGGCACAGAAGAGATAAGGCCAGAAATCTTTAAGAATCAGAACATATAGAGAAGAGTGGAAGCCAGTTAGGAGCAAGTTTAAGACCAATGGCCAAATTTAGGATCGTAGAAGTTGGATGTTGTTGGGATTAGACTGAGGCACGTGACTAAACAGCAAATTAAGGAAAACAAATGCTCAACAAGGAGTGCTTTGTAGAATGTATTAGACTGTGCCAATCTAATAGGAAGTCATGATGTGTTGTTCTGTGCAAAAATGTGTCACAGACTGGGATCAGCAGGTGGCATAATCGTTACATTGTCCCATGTAGTTTACCATGGTTCGTGGCCCAGACCCAGAGGCTTAAAACACGCGGGGTGCATGTGCGTGCATGCCCAAAATCCCAAGAGGAGAATGGAGGAGAAGGAATTGCAGCGTGGCCATTCCTCCTGACGGGGAAGCAGTGATTTCTCACTTCTTATATCTCTGGCGAGTGCACATGCCCTAAAGCAAAAACCTCTCTTAAAAAAAAAAAAAAGTCTTGACTATCCCAACAACCTCATATTATTTAGCAGATAGAAAAAGATTAGATTTGTTTTTTTTTTTTTTTTTTTTTTTTTTCTGCGAGAGGGTATGGTCTCTGCCTTTTCTGTAGTGTAGCTTTCTGTCATTGGTTTATGCACCCCTGACTAAAGAGTGCAGCCAGTGTCTGCTGGCTGTCCCCGATGACCTAATAGTTATTGTGCAGAACAGTGGAACAAGTAGTGACAGAAAAATGGACAAAACTGAACTTTTGGACTGTGGCTTATGCCGGATTGTGTAGCTCGCTGCCAGCTGTGAGCTCAGATGGTTGATTCTCCGAGTCCTTTTTGAAATTAAACCAACACGAAGGTCCAAAGACAAAAGTTACAATAAGAGGGACCACATTGCACAGTCACCAGCTGACATGATTCTCACTGGATTTGGGAAGCACTGGGTATTGCAGCAAAAGGGTTCTTTCCACCCAGGAGTCTTACTTTCCAAGAGGGCAGCAGCTACAAGCGAGAAAGTCCTGTCACTTAATGGATCTTAATTACACCTGGCCAAATGCCACATGGGGGATGGTAATCTAGGTATTGGTCAGTTGGTCAATTCTACATGTTTCCCTTCGATTTTTGGTAAATCTAGGGATGCTCAGAGATCCCCAGAAAGAAAATTCAAAATATCATCAACCTCAAAAGTCCGAGGTAGCTCAAGATCATCCCTGGTCTAAGGATTGGAGGGAAGACACACACGAATCTAAAATCTCCCCAAAACTTTTTAACTGTTAAGATGCTCAGAATGTGAGTGTGCTAGAGTCAGACAGCCTTTTTCCTGCACTCAGTGAGGTTTTTGTCTGATTCCATATTCACTAATCCCAGAGGATTTAGGCAGAATAGAGGGAATTAGGTCTTTTTTATTATTATTATTTTAAGTCTTTGCCACAGGGCACACATGCACTGCTGGAGAGAGACAGAGGGAAAGTGAGAAATCACCCTCATTCCTTTTGGAGGGATAATCATGCCATGATCCCTTCTCCTCCATTCTTCTCTCGAGATTTGGGGCTCTCACATATCCATGCTTGCATGAGTTTCAAGCCGCTGGGTCCAGGACTTGAATTATGATCAGCCGTGTGGGAGTCCAGTGCCTTAATCACTTCACCACCTTCTGGCCCTCAGATTTCTTTTAAGGCCCTTCTTAGGCAGACATAGTCTCTCTTTCACAGGAGTATCTGGAATTGTCTGATTATATGTCGAAGATCAAAATATCCTCATGATTTGGATCTCTTCCACTCTTTCATGTCTTAATATTTCCTTTTAATCTTACAAAGGCAAAGAAACCTAGCATTTCTAAGTGGAAGGGAAGTTCCAAATGTAGAGGCCAGATGAGGAAACTAAGTTACAGAGGAATTCAGTTTTCCGCCCAGGGCATCTTGCAGAAGACAAAATGAGAGTTATGACTTCTGCTTCCCAGCTGGTCAAGTTCCCTTACCCCAAACCTCAGTGCTATGTGGCCCATTGACTGCATTTTTCTTTCTCACCCTTTTAAGGAAACTCTCCAAGGTACTGAACTTTTATGTGGCTCATGCAGATGACTCCAGCAAGACAGAAATGCTTTTTGCAGCTTTGAAAGCCTTGAAGTACTTGTTTAGGTTCATCATCCAGTCTCGAGTGCTCTACTTGAGGTAATGAATGGTAGCTTAGTGTGATGTTTACATATTGCTGCTCTCTGTGTGGTTTCCCTTACCCCTCAGGCTTACATTCAGCTCTGTGAGCACCTGGGTCATGGAACTGCCAGATTTCAGGACTTTCAGGCTAAAAATGGAGGTAGGCTATGAGACCATTGGAGCAGATTCATGTGAAATCGTTTTGCACAGCAGGACTCTGGGGTGCAGGTGGCTTAATGCACAGCTTGCTGGAAGCCTGTTTGTGACAACAGCTCTAGAGAGGTCAGTTCCTGTGGCAGGATTGTATTCAGCATATCAAGTGACTTCATGACGATGTTGAGGGTCCAAATCTAGGACCAAGATCTATTGTTGGTAGTAGAGGGGGCTGGATGTTTGGGGAGATGTTCCCTGAGATGTGTGTCTTTGCATATACCGAGCTTACCTACCTAGTCAAACTAACCAATAGAGAGAGGATAATCCTCTGTGTGGATTTCTAACCTAACAGCTCCATCAAAAATTGAAGAAACCACCAAAGAGGAAGTACTTTTTCAGGGAATGCCCCAAACCCCAGTGACTTCCCTACCCTTTGAGTTTCCAAACTGTTAAAGTGTGTCTCTAAAGCAGAAAGAAAAGGGTTGTAGATTTCAGAATGTGTATTTTTTTAAAATAACTTTATATATTTTTAAAAAACATGAAAATTAAAAATAAGATGATTCATCCATGAAAAAAGTTTGTAACATATTGTACCAGTGTAAGCTTTATTGGTTAAAATCTCTCATAAATCAATTAGAGTGATAAGTAGCCTTAAAAAGAAGAAGCAGATCATTTACAAGAGAAAGATTCAGATAGTCAGTGAATTTTTCCTAAAAAGTTTTTATTCAGTATCAAAAGATACCACATTTACTTAGTAATAACCCGTCTAGAAATTTCTCAAATGGAAAATTAAAAAAATAAAATCTATCAGGAATGAAAAAATGAATGTTCAAGTGTGTCCATTCAGTCCTTTTAGATGTAAGGTATGTTAATGAGGGAAGATGATCATGATTCTTAAAAGATGAAACAAAGCTATTAAGCCTAAGGAAGCTATGATCCCATTTCAAAAGTAATATAGGTTGGGAACCAGCAGTTAGCGTAATGGCTATGTCGCTGGACTCCCACGTAGTCGACCGCGGTTCGTGTCCCGGACCCGGTGGCTTAAAACTCACGCCGGCCGCGTGTGCGTGCGTGCCCAAGATCCCGAGAGGAGAATGGAGGAGAAGGGATTGCGGCGTGACCATCCCCCCTGGGGAGTGATTTCTCACTTTCTGTCTCTATGTCTCTCTCTGTCTGTCTGGCGAGCGCACACGCCCTACAGTGAAATCTCTCCAAAAAAAAAAAAAAAGTAATATGGGTAGAAAGAAAGACTAGCTAGATTACACACGAAAATATTTACAGTATTGAAACCCTAGGTGTTAGGGTTACAATTTGCTTATTTATCTTATGATAGAGAGCACATGTGCTTACACACGAAAGAGAGAGAAATCACCCTGAACAGGGTCCCATCGTGCCAAGTACCCAAGTACCCTAGTTTCTTAGGATCTTGGGCACCTAGTATGTTTCCAGGCTGACCCTTGGATCCGAACCTGCTGTCGGCCGCGTGGCTTCCAGCACAGCAGTTCAACACACTACACTGAGCTTATTTTGTTCTTTATGTTTTTATTCTTTTTACATTTTAAATTCTGTTATTCATGTTATTTTATTTTACTGTTTCACCCTAACCTTTCATTTTCTGCTTCTCTCTTTCTCCCTCTCTTGTGCATATGTACACTCTTATCAAACACACACAAACACACATATGAGTTTGAGTGTTATTTAAATAAAATACTGAATTCCAGGCATCCCTGCTCCTAAGCAGTTTGTGGTGAAATTCCCACCAACTCCTAAGCACATGCACTGTTGTTGAGACTCGCATGTTCCTGGGAAACTGGCCAAACAGCCCTTGATTTCTACTTAGGAGAAAGGAACAACTCTTGAATTGACAGAGTGTATGAAGACCAGAGAGGGTTTAAGCAAGTGCATTTCAGTGAAGACTAAGGTATCTTGTGCACTGGGGGAGGCCCTCGTCAACATCAGCCTGAGCAGTTTAGTGAACAGAATAGAGGCCAGCCGGCTTTGTAGGCTGGGTTAGGTGGAGAAGAGTTGGGGAGGTTCCCTACCTGTTACCTGAGACCTCAGCTCAGACAGCCAGGGCTTGCTAAGTGAGACAGAACAATGAGGGTGAGACCCTGAAGGATGAGCGAAGGAGGAAAGGAGGAGGTCCACAGCAGGCTACGACAACCAGGATGTCAGAGGAGGTTGCTGGGAGCCCTCTGTTTATTGGACTTGCCACTAATGAGCTGAGGAGGGTGGGCATGCAGGGCTCACCTGCCACATCAGGCACAGAAGCTTCCTTCTGTTCTCTCTCCTTGCCAGAAAGCCCACAAACCCACTAGGGCAGAGGGCATCCCCAAGACCAGCCTTGCAGACAGCTTCAGAGGCATCTAAGCGTCTAGCTAATCACAGCTGACCGCCTGGAGAGCTCTGCTAGGCCTTGTACTTCCGATTCCTGCCCTCCAGGCTAGGTAGCAATACCCGCCCAGACACCAAGGCTGACCCCTAGTCCCCTTGAAACCTCATGGTCATGTCACATTTTAAATTGGTGGCCAGCATTGTCACTGAGCCTCCAGTCTTCTTTTTTTTTTTTTTTTAAGGCGACAAGGCAACACATCTGTTGTAAAATTATTTTGAAGGGTGGAAAATCCAACTGCTTTTTTCTTTTGCCCGTTAAGATTTTACGGCCAGAGCGAAGATGGAGATGAGTTTAATGATTCCATCCGCCAGCTATTTCTCGCTTTCAATACGCTGATGGACAGGCCTCTGGAGGAAGCCGTCAAAATCAAGGTCAGCATGGCATCCTCGTGGTGACTCTTTTAGGGTACTTGGGGAGGACATTCTGGGACAACGTATTGGGTCATCGGAAAAGTCATGACGTATGTTTCTATGTTTTTCTATGCAAAACTGCATCATGACTTTTCTGATGCTCCGATAGAACTGGCCGTGGTAGGAGACAAAGTGACTCGTGGTAGTACATAGCCAGCTTGTGTCCCTTCGTATGACTTACAGAGAGTACGGGGGAACCCGTGTTTTAACTTGTACAGATATTTGTATTTTCGAATGTCAGTTTGCCAAAGACAGGCCACCTTTTTAGATATGCCTCGAATGGTTGCTGTGATCTGTTTTGCCCCCGACTTCAGCAAACTGAAGTTTGCTAAACCCCTAATTCTGTTACGGGTGATAGCCTTTTGTCCTTAGTCACCCCTTCCATTCTTCCTAGAACACTCAAGTTACCATTATCTTCATCGCCATCAATTTTTTTTTAACATGACATACATAATTTCTGAAGACTCAAATGTGAACGTTATTATTTATCCTTATCTTTATGGCAACTCCATGAGGGAGACTTCAAGAATTTAACTCCCTCCTTAGACAGAAAAATGAGTTCTAAGTGGACAGTAGCCACTGGGGTTGAGAGCCAGAAGCTGCATCTCCGGCAATTTCAGAGCAGAGATTCCAGAGAGAGGGTACAGGACATAGCTTTCTTCTTCTCCACGAAGGCATCTGTGTCCAGTGCCTGAGTAGAGTTCCCAGTACAGCCTTCTTTTTCCTGAGATCAAGCAATAGATTCTGTATTTGTCTTACTTGGAAACTAATTTGCCTTCGATTTTTTTCTTACAGGGGGCAGCTTTGAAGTACCTTCCAAGCATAATTAATGATGTCAAGCTTGTGTTTGATCCTGGTGAGCTCAGGTAAATAGCAAAAAAGAAAAATGATCCTTGTTTTGTGGGACCAACCGATGGTGTAATGGTTATGTCGCTGGGCTCCCATGTAGTTGACCGCAGTTCGAGTCCTGGACCCAGTGGCTTAAAACTCACACCGGACGTATACATGTGCATGCCCCAAATCCTGAGAGCAGAAGGAATTGCAGCATGGCCATCCTCCTCCCAGAGAGGGTGATTTCTTGCTCTCTGTTTCTCTGCCTCTTTCTGTCTCCCTTGCAAGCGCACATACCCTGTAGCAAAAATCTCTGTTAAAGAAATTATATTTCTTAAAAAATAAAAGTAATAATAATAATTTCTTAACCTAGATAGAGAAGTAGCTCCCCTGCTTGGCCAGGGCCTGGAATATTTTGTGTGCTTTTACTTTTCTAACAAGGATTAACTGTACACCTTTTTGTACTCCGTTCTGTGGAAGATGTAAAAGAACACACAAAGCCTGCCTTGAGAAAAGTTTGTACTTTCTCTGGGGAATCAAGACATGCAGACAGCAAATTAACTACGAGAGAAAGTACATAATAATATGCTTCCAGCCCTATTCTGTACTGAATACAAAGTCAGACTGCAATCAACTTTGGAATGGAGTTAGCCAGGAAAGTCGTTTTGCAGAAGTTTCGTGTTGAGGCAGGTCTGGAAAGCGAAGGTGGACGTGGATGTACTTTGGTAGTTTCAGCAGAGTCTGTTCTAAAGCAGAGCCATCTAATGAGTGAGAATACAGCCCCTGTCACTTCTAAGAGGCAGACTCTCAGGTCATTTAGGAGTTTTCCAGGCAACCCTCTTTATACCGAAATGACCCACTGGAATAGCAAAGTTTAGAACAATGCCTTCAACTTGATGGAACAAAAACACTGACCCTGAGGTTTCTCTTTCAGTATGCTCTTCTGCAAATTCATTCAAAGCATTCCTGACAACCAGTTAGTTCGGCAGAAACTCAACTGCATGACCAAAATAGTAGAGAGCAGTCTTTTTCAGCAATCAGGTAAGTCTCCAGCAAAAATCACTGCTTAGTGAAATTCCAGCCTTAACTTCTGCAGCCAGCACTCACCTTTTTTTGGGTAAATGTCATTAAGGTCCTCACCAGTTTATTGATGCTTAAGTACCTTCTGTGAGGCCAGTTTATGGAGAACCTGATGTCAGTTCAGTATTTCCAGTAGTTCCTAAAAGAGTAAAATCATGTTCTTTAATTTTAAATTAGAGCAATCAGCAAGTAGTTCATTAATTAGATAATTTTGTCTTGAAAAGAAGAGCCTCCGAAAAGATAGTCATTTTAAAGAAATATGTCTTCTTTGACCTATACTTACGTGCATAACCTCAAAAACCATGGGGTGGGGTAGACAGTATAGTGGTATGTGACGTATTGCTTATACGAAGAGAAGCTGATACAGACACATCTCTTCTCAACCTGACATTCTTGATGTCACATTAGTAACTGGAGATTGACCTTGGTGGAAATATTTACACCACAAGAATTGGCAAACACTATAAATTAAGGCTTGTTTTTGTTTGTTTGTTTGTTTTTGCAGGAAGTCAGATTACCAGCCTACATCTTAGAGGGAGGAAAGTATGGAAGGAAGAAAGCTCTTATACTAAGAAAATACTTTTCACTTTGTAAATAGTCAAGCATGTAGCTACCAACTCTTAAATCACTATACTATTCCTGCTCCAAAGCTGATATGAGGAGGAAGACCAATACCTGGTCCTTCCCCCATAAACCTAGGACTTGCTAGAATGGAAGCTATGAGATCGTCTGGAATTACCACCAGGTCAGGGAGTCTCAGAGAGTAACCTCATGTTATGTGTATTATATTACCTGGGGGTCTGAAGACCAGCAGGACTCCTTAGGAATTGAAAAAGATGAGTGGGAGAACTGTTCTAGGCTTGCCCCTGGCTAATTATGGAACTTTGGACAAATGAGTGACCTTCTTCCAGGCTCAGCTTCCATTTCTGTGTAAGGAAAGACTCAAGCCAGGTCACAGAGGTAGACTCTTTTGGATCTGATATTTCCTGAGCTTGTTCTGAGATGTTTTGAGGACAGACTTGGAGGTAGAGTGATGCCTTAAAAATGCAAATGCGTGCTCTTAAGTAGAAAATAAATATTACTGAACTTCTTAAAAGTTTATGACAAACTCTGCCTCTAAGGATAAAGAAGGGGAAATTGAGAAAGATGGGATGTTTGAGCACAAGGGCAAGCATACTCTCAGTGGTTCTAATTAGAGGAGATACAAGCACTGTTTCCAGTCATTTCTGTAGTGTCCAGAGAACCTGGACTGACCATACTAATGTTTTTTAATATTGAAGATCTCACTAGGAAGATCTTCAATATACCACCAGCTGGCCCCACACCTTACCTTCTGTAGTCCATGTACAAAGACATAAGCAGAATGTGGATGACATTGAAATGTACTAGGAAAGCAGTATTTATAGAAGTCTTAGAGTAAACTTTGTCTATTGGGTGAGAGAAGGACTTTGAAAATGTGTATGACATGCTTAGTTTCATGAATTTCACACGACTTAGCTTTCATGTATCAGGTTGGCATTTTTTTTTGTTTGTTTGTTTTTGTTTTTTTTTTCTTTTTTTTGAGAGATTTTCACTGTAGGGCGCGTGCGCTTGCCAGACAGACAGAGAGAGACATAGAGACAGAAAGCGAGAAATCACCCCCC